GGATAGATGATATTCCGCGGTTCATGGTTCCATATAAAAATCGTATTTATGTGCTGTTGTGCCGTTCAAAAAATCACGACATTGACAGCTTAACGTACATCGACTTGTCCACCAAAATTTGGAAATGTCTCGAATCGCCCGGAATAAAACCGTTCTCGATCCACTCTTGGCTTCCATTTGCTCATGGCCATTATTTGTATGTATTGCTTGGTGACATGTGGCTTGATTATAATATCGTCACTACATTTGGCAATCGAAAAATGAATGAAGTCGTACTGAGATACTCATTTGCTAGGGATGAGTGGGAACAAGTGTACTTCAAAGGAATACCACCCTCTGAATTCCTGTCTTTTACATCTGTAGTTGAAAATATTGTAGTTCTCTTTGCACGTGATACGAAGAAAGCACATGTGTTAGATTTTCTCCCTACTTTACGCAGTATATGTTTTGTAGCTGTCAGAAAATACAAGCTGCGCTCAACATGGCTTCCAGCAACACTGCAACAAGAATTGTCAATGTACAGAAAATGTTCGAAGTAATTTATCGAGTCTGAAATAAATGTATGTACTGTTTATTCATCAAGACTGATGTTTTGCTGGAAGTTGCGAGTATGTATTGTTTGGCAACTGTTACTTTCATTCGTTTTCTTTATAGTTTAATTTTAATTTCTTATCTGATAACTTTTCTGCAAGTATGTACAACTGTAGATACTAGTAAAATAAAATATTTTTATTCATTTTTAACTTCGTATTTCTTCCATCAGTGGTTCTGTACCTATAATGAGTGAGGATCCAAAGAAGTGGTTTTTTCATACTCATATCTACGTGAAATTTAAGTTTCAATTTTTATTGATTTAAGTTAACAAGATGCGCGCAGTAGAATGAAAAGGTGAATTTATGACAGCTGCTGATGAATTCAATGATATACTCGGTGGTAATGAATTTTGAAACCTATTGAACACGAAAATAAAGACACGCATATATGTACATTAGTATTACTGAATATTATTTTAACCCATACACATATCTAATGCTTATTGGGGCAGATTGTCCTGGAACGGTTACTGATTGCAATACATCTCACTGGTAACTCGCCTAGGTTGAGAAGGACCAATCAATCATGATGTGTGCTAATGATAACTAGGGAACGGATGTCCATGTAAGAAGATATTTTTACAAGGACAAGATACCTGCATTCAATAATATTTGTTAGAGTTTAGGAAATATTCTAAATGAAATAGAGCCATTTTTATTTTATATATTTTTACATATTGCGGTATTATTACATATTTTACCTAAAACTACATATTTCTTACGTACTTCGTTACATTTTAATGTATTTGTACTACTTTGAAACGAAACATTTCTGCAGAATATGCTTACGGAATCATCTTTCTTACGAAGGAATGTAATGCTACCGCGCTCCTGTGTTCACCGGAGACTTGCACCATGAACTGTCATTACCCCCACACCCACTACTTCTTAAAAGACACATTCTCCGAATCAAAAATCAGCGGATGTTTGTGAAGCAGAAGTAATTACACGTGCTTGCTCATGTTTCATAGAGTTCGTATGTAACTTGATCGAAAACTAACAAATATATTTTACAAATCTTTGTTTTATCGCGTTGTGGAATTTGGGGGCGGGGTAATGCACCCGTTACCCCCTCCTCCGGTATCCATCACTGACTTCGCAGTACTACTATTCACTTGAGCACCGACTCCATTTTCATTGTGTATACAATGAACGTATTTCATGTTTCGAATAAATCTTGTGTGGTGAAAACAAAAGTACAATTACTTCTGAAGATGCAGAACTGTCTTACAACCGCTCCGAATCCATGTTCAAATCTATACGCGTGTGTGTGTGTGTGTGCACAGTGTACAGTTATCCGTTTTTATTTCCCATATTCGTTCAGTTTCGCATGGAAATACCACAAATACATTTTTGAAATATACTTCATATACGAAAAAAATATCCAAACATTCTTTAAATTAAAATTAGTGAAATAATTAAATAGTAATCAATTATATTTTTATTAAGTCTGCTAAAGTTTGGTTGCGAACTTTGAAATACGTTTCTCGGAAGTTCTCACAAGACAATAATTTTTTGTCCTAGTAATCAGTGCTGGCGCTAGGAGCAGGCAGACCGGGCGATTGCCCGGTGCTCCGTCTGTCAAGGGGCCCGATGATGGGGCTGGTGGGATAAAAAAAAGTTTAAAAAATAGAACCCGAGGAAATCGTGAAATGGAATAGTGTATGTATTCAAATGACGATAACATTAACATAGGTTGTACGGAAATACATATTTATTATTTCAACTACTTAACAACAAATAATTTTACTAAACACTAACTAAACAATAATTTTTTTAGCGTTTTAAGCTCATCGAGGAAATTGTATTACTTGATCACTAAATACTTTTATTAAAACTATTATTTAAAATATATTTAGAAAATGTTTTCAAGCTTAAAAGTTGTAATTGTTGTTATCTGTTAAATAACTCTTAGCTTCTTGGTAAAACTTAACATTTTTTCGGAGGGGAGGGGCGCAACGTTTCACTTTTCCGCGGGCCCAAAATTGTCTAGTTCCAGCACTGATAGAAATATTCGTGGAGCCAATAGGATTGTGCAGCTTGGTCGCAGTCCTTTGTTCATAAATAAGTTGTGATGCTTCTAGTATAATATTTTATTCACAATTTCTAGAAACTGTTTACAACCATATTCTACAGTAAAACGGTTTTATTTGATTGATATTGCGTATTGGATCTTCATATTTTGATTCAACTTCAGAAGTAAATCTTTCTTGTGCTTTAAATTATTGAGAAAACAAGACATCTAACTCATAAACCCAGAACATTGCCTTTTTATAAATACCAGGAACTCCCCAAATTCTTTACTACCAGATTCTCACAATGAGCACAACAATGTACAAATATTGGTAAAATCTGCCTGGTTTTAATTACTGGGTATATTTCATTATTGATACCTGTCATATTGGCTTCGCTCTCATCAGTCTGGCCCGAAGCATATTCATTTGTAAACTTAGTCTAGTTGAAATGTGGTTATGTTAATATATAAAAAAAATAAATTAGAATGAAACTACCTTACTGGGAAAATACTGGGAGGAGTGATGTGTCCCCTGTTCCGTAAACAGAGACGCCCTGTTTCCCCCAAATGTTCTCACGTGTGTTCCCTCATCTTTATCATTTTGTGACGTCATGGATACTCACAGCGACCACAGACACAGAGCTTTCATATAACAAATATATTTATTAACAAGAAAACAAAACAAATATATACACTTAACAATCTACTCACACCCTAGCTCTGATAGACCTACTATCCCCTGATCGCGGGAGCGATCCAAACCCGATTGAAGATGGTTTTGATTGTGGCATTCGCCACTCCTACTTCTGAAGCGCGCACGAAGCCTAGCTTCCGTGACCGGATGTCACACTGGGACACAAAGTCCGTTCTGGCGCACCAATGGCTGGTTTGCCTCGATCGCAGGAGCGATCTTATCCGATTGAGAATCGGCGTGAATCGTGGCACTCAACCACTCTTCACCTCGGAGCACGCACACAGCATCGCTCCCCCGTGACCGCAGTCACCCAAGGACCTAAAGTCCGCAGGCTTCGTCAACTAGTGACTCCAGCCTCGCGAGCCTGGCTCGCATATGCACCGTCGTGGCGCCAAGTTTTGTGCACATGCACGAGGTTCTCCCGCTGTCTCCAGAACCCACCCATTGGCTCTGTACACTCTGTTATATAGGCGAGGCCCACGTGACCTACTACGTCACGCCACCCCCTCGCTTGTTATAACAGTGAAAAGCTTCTATAAGCCGGAAACTCCCAAAGCCTTGTGTCTCCCGTTTCCGCGTTCTTCCCTTTACGGAAAAACCCTACTTCCTGTGGCTAGGCTAATCCTCTCCCAAGCGTCCCCAAATAGATGCCTTGAGGCACGCTGGCTAATACGTTACAATTTTTTGACAAGATGCGTGTTTGAGGGTCCGGGATCACTTCTAATAATAGTGAGACCTTTGCATCGCACACGATTACAGTTAGAATAAATTAGGGAAATAGTCATAGTTCCTAAGTCATAATTTGTTAAACACGATAGACATTCCATTCCCTCCACCGAAAAAGTTTCTCTTCCCAATTTTGCAGATTTACCCACATTTTTAATTGTACAGTCATATTTTCATTCATGAGGTCATGAACAATTTTGTATTGAATCTGATAGTGATTTATTTAATCATGGTCATTTTGTTCTCGATGAAAAAACAGAATGCTTGTTTTTTGGTCGATTATTTATTTTAACTTAAAAAAAGCTGTTTAATTAAATGGCCTTTAAGTTTAAGAAATGTGTTATTTACGATAGTATTTATCTGCCTCACCCAAACTGAGCTATGAGTTTAATGTTTAGTTCAAGTAAAAAAATGAATAAATTGAAAAATTATATATTGAAAAGCTTACTACTTTGCCGATTAAAATTTTCAATGTTTAATGAGAGGTTCATTATTTAGATGAAAATTTAAATGATTCATTAATTTTGCAATATTTGTTATATGAGGGGATGGGAATTGAAGTGGTGTAAGTCAGTTTCACCTAATCTAGTAGGACTAATTGATTTACATTTGATAATACTAGCAAATCTATTGTCAGGTTTTTGCTGCCCCCTCTGTCTTACAAAATTTCAAAATTACTTTTGCTAAAATATTAAGTATATATTTGAAACTCTTTGTTCGGATGCGAATCCCTTTCTCCTGATTGATTAGGTTAAACTGACTTACACGGCTTGCATTCTCAATCACGCATATATCGGCGAAACATACTACGTACAAGGATTGGTGGACATCAGCGACCCAAGTGGCTAGATTGCAAAAGTTTGGCGGATGTCGCGCCGCGAGTTGTGCTTGCCTGAGCCCACCGCGGCAAGAAATCACGTTGCAAACTCCATGCCAAGAGACTGACGTGCGCACGCCCGTGCCACGTGTCCGCATGGAGGGGGTATCGGACGGGCGGTCTGGCACTGAACGCCTACTCCAGTCTGTGGCTGGTTGCGGCGGAGGCCGAATCGATGCAGTGAAGCAGTGCCTGACAGTCACTCCACGAAGTGTCGATTCCCGCAAATGAAGAGGTGAGGTTGCCTTAGAGATATTCTATAGAGTATACTATAAGGTAAACCTGATAGATAAGAGATATTCTATAAGGTGATGACAATGCTAGAAGCCAGTCAAAAAGGAAAAGTAGATATCTTGCTCATATAGCTACTCAAAAGTTCGGGAAGATATAAAGAGAGGTAAATAACCTATTTTCTATTATAAAAAAGGTAAGATTGATATTTTGAAATTTATACTGACGTTTTTATAACATTAAATTGATTTTGTGAAACGCATTTTTATTTTTGGTGTGAGAGTATTCTGTAATATATGGTCTTTCTTTCATTTCCTATGATATTTTATCAAAATCTGTAACTGAAATTGACAATTAGATATATTGAAAGCAACACATGGAAAATTTTCTATTTAAATACCGAAAATTTAAATGAGTAGGAAAATCTATTCAATGTTAGTCAGTAGAACTACGCAATATTTTCTTCACGTGCTGTATTATTACCATTCAAATAGCATATTAAAGTGTTCGTTAATAAAAAAGATGTCATTTGGAAACGGAAGCTTTATGTACAGGCTGGAGCAGTAGAAATAATTGAAAATTATTTCACTTTTGTAATACAATTTGTGTTTGTATTTTGTTAATATTTTTCATTTCATTAGTTGCATTTGCCATAATAATTGGTTGTTGCACAATATTTATCATGAAAAGTAAATAAATAAATCTGAAACTTTTATGATCAACAGTATTATTACATAGGATTATAATGTAAAGAAGCAATGAAGGAATTTTTCATGAAAAATGAGCATCAGCCTGAAAGATATATTACGGAACCCCCTTAATTTTTCTTAACGGAAGTCATACATATATCTTAACTAGAGATTTTTAAAATGTCAATGTATATTCTATTTTTGTCGCTCATTACCACAAATGTTTCCTTCGGCGTTTCTTTTCTTGAATATGTACATAAAAATATGTTTAAAGTCACGGTATTGCTAAACGAACTTTGGATCTTCGTTAGTGTAGGAAAATATTGACCATTTCATTCGCGGGAGCATTCAGAAAGTTGTATAAAAAACAGAAAACTTGAATACTTGCGATTTTGGTAACTCTGCCCCTAGCAAGTATCAACTGTTGGGGGGGGGGGGGGGGAGAGTGGCTCGCGTCCGTGATATATGTAAATATATCACACGTGCCCCTAGGTAACGCTAAATGAGCTACAACGATTCGCCACAAATGCGCTGACTGATATGAACCTGCGAATCGCACATGCAAATACGAGTGCCAACACAAACCCGACAGAGGACGACCCATACAGCGAGACAGCCCGTCTATACTGGTCAAGACGTCACCAAATGGCTAACCTGCCAAGGGTGGGCGTTGACTAGTAAGTAAGATATCAACGGTTGACGGTTTCATCCAATCGGAAGGTTGAACGTCACCATAGTGACGTCACTATGGCGATGTTGAAGGTCCCGATTGGATGAAACTGTCAACAGCTGATCCCTGCCAGGGGCACAGTGTCGAAAATCGCAATATAAATAGTTATTTCTAACATTAATGTTAAACAAAAATATGTTACTTAGGCAGATATTTATGATAATTAATCATTTTTTTCAGTTTGCATATATAGTTCGTTTAATATTCAAAATGTCTGTTTGCGGTTCTTTAAGGTTTACTTACTACTTCAAGGTTTACACCTTTACTAGATGTCTTGCCTGCAGCCAAATTGGGTAGGCAACATTTGCAATGTTCATGTAATGAGGGTTGCATTTAAACAGACAAGAATTGGAATCCTGTGTTATTGTGTCTAACCAACGGCTTATATCAGTATGCTATTGATAAAATGTATATTTCTCCATCTCATTAAGTACTATTACATCGCCGAATACATTTAATTTTCGTTTGTACGCTAATATGCTTAACAATGTAGAAGGGCGGCCAGTTTCTATGGCACTAGGTAATTCCCTGTCAATGTCCGAAGATTTTTATCGACTAGTTCTCGAGGTCACGTTGCATAGGGACTCGTAGCATATATTAGCTAGAAATAATATTTTGAAGAATTCTTGATTCGTTACGTCAATACAAAACACAGAGTATTGGACTATGTAAAAACGTCAGCTCCTCCCTTTTCTTTTCACTCTTCTTTTTCTCTTTTTTCGTTATGTTTTCCTTGATGTTCCCATTCTTTCCCTTCTTATTCTCTTCATTTTTCGTCTCCCCCTTCACATTAATCTTCTCATTCTCCATCTTCTCCTTTATTTCATTCTCTCCTATACATTGTTTCTCCTTTATTTCTTTGCACTTATCGTTGATTTTCTCCTCTTTTCTCTTCTTCTTATTCTCTTCCGCCTTTTCTTCTTTTTCTTTTATCATCCTCAACCTGGTTCCCTTAATCTAATTCTTCCTCTTATTTTCCTTCTCTTCCTCGGTGAGCCAGCTACTGATGTTGTCATGGCAATTGAAGGAGTCACTGCGAGACGAAGATGTATAACCCATTAACATTAAGGACGCTGTCTAACAATACGCACAAAACAGACGCAGACGATTTGCAGTGTTCTGCTGAATTTATTTTTAAAGCGATACAGCTTTTGCAAATATTTTGGAAGTTTGCATTAATCGTTTTCAATTCAAATTCTTTATATAGATGTCTAGATGACGACGATAGACGACTAGACGTGACATTTACGTCTAGTCGAAAAGTAAGCTTTTATATTTCTAAAAATGGGATATTGTTTTTATTGTTTTATATGAAATGTGACATTTCTAGAATACAAGAATATAACTAAGACGATGACGACGTGTAACTGCATCAAAACTCATTATGACGGGAAAACCTCAGAAGCTGTTCCCGCTTGGCAACCCTCCTGCCTCCTGGACTCTGGCGGAGTTGAAGAGAGGAGAAAACTAGGGTTATTTGGGCCACCTACTATTTCTGGAGGGTAATACAAAGACTGAGAAGATAATAGAAAGAAAGAATTGATAAATATGAACAACTTAATAAATAAGGATTTTTAAAAAAGCCAACTGTAATAAATAAGGGTATTCAATGTAAATAAGGAGAAAGATAGAGTTTGTAAACATCCAGGAGCATTTGATGCATTATAAAATCCAGTATTAGTTTAAAAATTTGAAATTTATTTTCCCCTCATGCGAAATTTCACACGAATTAATCAAAATAACGTTATTGTTCACAAAATGTTGACGCTATTAAGAGTGTAGATTGGATATTTACTTCCACATATTTGTTTATATTATCAACCGGAAAAGTAATTGTCAAGTCATGAAATTGAAATATACATTTTTTCGACATTCGTTACAAGTAGTATTTTTTCTTACTCAAATTTGTATAAGTGAGTATTTGAAAATACAATTTATTTTCGCTCTTAATTTCTTCATTCACCAGTATAAGCTCTGAAAGACACACGGTTTTTAAGTCAAAATGTCGTCTACGTTGGGTTGCATTCACTTCGACATGTGTTCCAAATTATTACTTAGAATTCACCAGATATAAAAGATCTCGAGGAAGAAGTATGCTTCTGAAGGCATTATATTTTACTATTTACTTCATGCAATATATTTTATGTTGCAGAGTGCTACATGGCGTGGACTCATTGTGTGAGCGAGATCCCCATCAGAGATTGGTTTGGCAATCGCAGATTTCGTGATGGCGTTGCAGTCGACGGCTCTGTGTACTTGTTCGGTTCCGATGACGCCTCCGAAGAGAACGGCCTGCAAATCCTGTCCTTTCATCCTCAGAAACACTTATGGAACGTTATCCAACCCCTGTCCCCAAACGAAGTGTCTACCAACGACGGTTTGGCTCCTAAAGGCGAAGACACATATTTCGTTGTGTCACACAATCAAAAAGTGTATGTGTGCGTGGGGGATCAGCGCATAAATGCAGGTGAAATTTACATTTTCGACACTCGAAGTTTCCGGTGGAGTTGTGTAGCTACAACTGGTGATGTGCCTTCAGGAAGCATGCGAGTGTGTACAAGTGAGCACAATGGACATATATACATGTGCGCCGATTGTGATATTAATGATTATCTCAGCGAGGGGTCTTATATTTGGTCTTTGGAACTGCGCACCATGCGATGGAAGATCGTAGCCACTGGAGGATGGACCAGAAAATACTCCCCTCGCTGTGTGGTTCCTTATGAAAACAGGCTTTATGTGTTGCTGCAACGGATTGGCGACTTTACGACCCGTACCCATGACGACGATGTGACGTATTTCGATCTGACTACTAAGAAATGGGTGTGGCTTGAACCACCTGGGCTAAAACCAATCGCGAATCAGGACTGGATTCCATTCGTTCATAGAAATCACTTGTACGTATTGCTGTGTGAGTCATGGTGGAGCGATTACGATATTGTCACAAAGAACGAAGTTGTGACAAGGTATTCCTTTATAAAGAATGAGTGGGAGCAAGTGTGGTTCAAAGGAATATCTCCCACCGATGTCTTGAATTCGTTATGTGTGGTTGATAATATAGTGATTTTCTTTTCTTGTTATAAGAAAAAGGCGTATGTTCTAAATTTCTTTCCTAGTTTACGCAGTCTGTGTTTGCATGCTGTAAGCAGGTACAAACTAGACTCAACGTTGCTTCCAGAAATCTTGAAAAGAGAATTGGTGATGTATAGTTACTAAATCGTAACGAGTCTAGTGATCCAAAACAAAGTTTGAAATATTACTTGGACAGTTAAAAGTGTACCAGGAAACGTTTGGTGCCTGTAATGATAGGTAATTTAAGTCCTTTGTAAAATAAATACTACGTATTTTCGTGTACCTTTTACCGGAGTACTAAAGTTCTAGTTAAGCATCTGTACGTTTCACAGTAAGATCTTAAAACTGATATAAAACTATCGTTATAGCTTGTTGTTGCAAGTTGATCTCTTGTTTGTGTTTTTCTCTACACATTATTTGTATTCAATTTTTAAGCTTTTAAAAAACAAATCTTGAAGACAGATATCATGCTACATTATGTATTATCACTTTTATTCCCTCCCAACTATTCTTGTAATTTTCTGTTGTTTAATATTGAGATGGTCCTTGTCATCTTGATCCTGATTTATAAATTTGCTTCTCTTGTACATTCCTTGCAACAGTGTTCTGAACTGAATTTGACGTTGATTTCTAAAGCACCGTCAATGGCACTAATAAAATCCGGCAAATAAAGTGCGGCGGCGATGGTGTAACGGTTAGCGTACTGGACTGTTGTACCCAAGTTGGCGGGTTCAAACCCGATCGAAGCCGTGGAAGGGCGAAAAAATCCTTCGTACGCCTTCCTTCGGAGGGGAAGTAAAGCCGGCTGTGCCATGTTCGTAGATTTACTTGCATGTAAAAGATCCTCAAGCCTAAATGAACTGAACTAAATGAAATTATGTCTTTTTAAGTTGATCTCTCAAATGGTTAAATGTCATCATAAATGGTCTTCGTCCACACATTTTCCTCCTCGCTAAATAAGATTCAAGGGGAAAAAATAGAGCATTTTCGCCACACACTCACGTAGTCACTTGCATGACGAATAAATATAGTAATGTATCGTCGACGAAATTTTTGTTTAGTTGTTTCAATTTTCAGACCAGGCAGATCCAGACCAAGCTTCTTGATTTGAAATAATTGAACATCAGGATGTACAGACCCTAAAAATAAGTATTATTCGAACCCGAGTGATAAATCACATTTTTACACTGATTTTAAGTCGACCCCCACCATCCACATCAAATGCATAATTTCGGAGTGTCATATCGGACACTGTTTTACTGAGAATTCGTCTCGAGGTTGGGTGTCGCGTGATTGGTACCTGATAAGTTCTGCGTCAAACAGTGTTCACGGCGTAAGCTTGAACAAGATCCGATAAAAGTACCCTGTAAAAACTCAGAAGCGACGTCATGTGGTACCCAATGGTCCTTACGGAACGAGGTCAAAGCGAGGTGTTGTTTCGAAAACTTGAACAGCAACGTAGCCACATCGGTTTGTCAATGTAATACTAGTACGGAAATTATAAAAAGAGCAGAGAAAAGGCATGTTAATGTTATGTTTAAGTCATGTTAATGAGAATGTAATAGCGAAGTGTATATTCTATTTTGCTTAATTTTTTGAGTGTTGCGTGAACCTGTGAACCTTATAAATAACCGCCCCCTGTTGCTGGATTAGGTTTTGACGGAGAACGGAAACTATTTGGTTCGAAGCATTGGCAAAATCAGTTTCTAGCCATGCGTACGTGAACAAGTTTTCTGGAGTTTGGGGAGAGAGCGAATGTCCTTGACACACTGTGAAATTATACATGCACATAGGTAGCTTGATCCGGAAGCTTAGGTAACCCAAGGTTTTTGTGGCAATCATAGCTGAACGTGAGTGTATCTTCTTTCAACTTTTCGTAGAACACCTCTACTCTTTTTGTGTGCCTTAAGCTATTGTCTCAGATCCATATTTTCTTTATTTGTCGCAGACTCGATTCTTGACTAAAAACTAGTGTTGAGCAAGTGTCGACAATAGGCACTTCGAAACCAATATTGAAATGGTTACAGAAAATTCTCCTGTAGAACTCATATTGAACTGGAGTTGGCAGTTACTTGCTGCAGGATTACAATCGCCCATATTGCTAGCCCGACTGCCACTCACTTCGCGCTGAACCAATGTCGTGCACGTCTGGCGTGGTGCAATGTCCGGGCAAGCTGGGAGTCGAAATGGCGTACAGTGGTGTTAAGTGGTGAGAGCCGTTTCTGCCTGCATGCCAGTGACGGTCGTGTGCATGTGTGGCGTCGTATAAGCAAGCGCGTGCGCTCAGAGTCTCGTCAGGAAGGGCCCACCCTTTGGTGTTCGTGGAGGGATCTTTCACCAGCGCTGGATACATCCAGCATGCGCGGCCTATGCTGTTACTTTTCTTGCAACGGGAGGGTGGTGCGCCGTTCCAGGAGGACAATGCCCGCCTTCACATTGCCCGCGTTATGCAACACGCTCTCCGCGATGTTTGTCAACAGCCCTGACCTTCACGCTCGCTGAATTTGTCTCTGATCGAGCATGTGTTGGACAAGATGGGCCAATGCCTGACCCATGCTGCGATTCCCCCAACAACTCTGCCTGTTCTGTGAGGGACGGTACAGGAAGTGTAAAACAGTGTACTGCAGGACACTATTTTTCACCTATACGATAGGATGCGAGCCGGCATCAGGGCTTGCCGTTCTGCCTGTGGCGGGTGCACGCACTATTGATGTGGCGTTTCCGGTCCATTGTTCTCTCTGTTACTGAAAGCGCGAGTCGCACATGGTTCTCTCCATGTAATTATGTTCTCTCCATGTAAATGAAGTATTATGTGTAGTATTTCTTCATGTGCTGTATCTGTACGGAGGAATAAATTGGACAATGAATTCGGAGTGATGCAATACTTTTTTCTGATAGTGTATTTTCGTGCGCTTTTAGACACAGTGGCAATTGATATTAGTTAGTACTTTGTGTCGTAATGTGGAAGAGTGAAACAAACTATTGAAGTTTGCGTTTGAAGCCTATTTTTTATTTTCTCGCATTCTACACACGCAATATTGAGAAAGTTATGTAATACTGTAGCGAAAAACGGCGATTCTTCGGAAGAACAATTAATATTGATTAACATTAATATCCTATACGTAGTTAATTACTTTCACTAACACGTTGTGTAGTCAGAAACCACGGAGTGGGTCTTTGATACTGTAAAATTAAGTTACAGCAAAACGTCCGCCTGTCTGTCCGTCCGTCTGTGAACGATTGCCGCTAAACCGTAAGTATGATTTTTACTAAAATTAATATTCCCCGATCGATTTAGCAGGTGTCAGGGCCCTTTGGATTGGAATTGATACTTTAATTTTGGGGGGAGGGGAGACCGTTGCAAGAACACAATTTACATTTTACTTTTTGACGGCTGCTAGCACCAATTTGTTTCTCGATTTTTTTCCTAAATACAAGAAATGAAAATAAATTTTAGCACAGTAAAAAACAATTTTTTTCAAATTAGTTGTGTTGTATATTAAATTTAATGATAATTAAAGTAGAAATTAGTTTTCGAAGGGTACTGCCTTCGAAATAACCCCAACTACCTAACAATACGATTGCAACAAGTAAGTGAAGGAAGGACGAACAGGCGGGAAAATTTTCACAAGCCGTGCACACGCATCGGGTGTCAGCGTGGTTGATGCATGAGCGAGAGTCTACTGCGCCAATTTAAATGGATTTGAATATGAAGTTTTGAATATGTTCTTCTTAATCTTACAGATTCAATAAAAATCTGGTGAAAAAATATTTCCATTTATTGTGACAATTTAATCTAATAACTTTAATTTATTTATGTTTTTAAAAATAATTAGTTAATATTGTAGTATAATTCTCAAAAAAATGAATTATTCCAGCAAATATTGAAAAATGACAAAAATAAATATCAATGTATAACAATGTCAATATATAACATTAAATACCCCCTACCCCAATGCAACGCAGTGTAACGCCGCCTCCAACCAACACCACCTAGATGAATACCTAAGCGAATGAATAGCAAAAGTTTCTGTCGGATTATGTGACAAAAGGAGCGCTCCTAGCGGTATAAAGTATACCTTCGTTAAATAAAAACGAAGGCTTTGCAACAGAGTTCGGCCCGTTTTATTGACTGATACCAGTGAGCTCTAGTGTATAATGTTGGGATCACTGATATACGGTTCTGCCAACCACTACCCACTACTGCCAACTTTACCAAAAAGTTTACTGTCAGAATTACTCGGGTTGTCACTGGTTGTCACTGTTTTGGTCTTGCACTGTAACGGGGTGTGTGTATTTTAAATGATTTGTTAATTCCCGTGACGAAGTTTAATTATCTTCCTATTACAATGTTGTCGTCACTAGTGAAAGACCATTTAAATAAACAAGCCATTCGTAAAGAACAGTAGGAGCATAAACGGAAGGAAGCTGTCGCTGCTGCTAATAATTTAACTCAAGCTTTGGTAGATCATCTGAATGTTGGGTATGGTATCTTTGAATCATTCTTATATAATTTTATTTATTTATGTAATATCAAAGAAGATTTAAAAACTGTATGTCGTACTGTACGAAGAAGCGCAATTTTGCTTGATTTATTGAGCTTTGGGATACTTGACCTAAAAGTTAAATTATGAATGCAGATAGCAACAAAATTTTTTGACAAGAACTGGAACAAAAATAATTGCTGTCATGTAATTTAAACTTTATTATTTATCTTAAAAGCTAAGTAAAAGTTACTTGAGTAATTTTGTTTGCCCCTTTATTCTCTGCCTTTTAGAAAACATTTCTCTCTTGGATGTTGCCCTGCTTCATCCTAGAAAAGAAAAAGAGTTTTTTGTGATAACAGATTTGAAGTATTATTTCATAAATATGGATGCAATTTGATATCCTGATCGGCTAGTTCGACAGATGATCTGCCAACTTCATTTTGGACAATGTAGTACCAACACCACAGTAATAATATTATTACTAGTGGCCCTAAATCTCAAGTAATAGTTTTTCTATTAGGACAAACAAGTAATATCTAACATGATATTATAAGCTAAGAACAAACACGCATTGAAGTAACTAATTACTGTCATGTACCCAAATGAAAATAGGCCCCAAAAGTATTCCAAGACAAGAAAAAATTACACCACCAAATGCGATGAGTGATTGACAAGAAACTTTATATTCCACGTGTTTAGATTCTTTTAAAACCATTTCTGAACTTATGCCAGTTCAGTGTTTCATTCAAAAAATTGAAAATACATGCATTAGTAATTTGAAATATAGCTTAATGAAGGCCAGGGAACTTGCGGTGTAATGGTGAGACAGCTCACCTTTCACCTCTAAGACTGAATTTCAGTTCCCTCATTAATCCATTTCATCCATTCCAGAATAGAATTTGATGTAAAAACTAGAATATACAAGTTGAAGTATCATTGTAATTGTGGTTGAATGTGTTTGTTATACTGATATAACTTCTATAAAAACTTCATGAAAATCATTCAAAAGCGTGATTGTGTGTCACATAAAGTGAAATTTGTTAATGTAATTTATTTTTGATTAGTTTAAAACATAGGAGTTTTATTTACTGCGTAATTAACTCATTTAATATCAATAATATATTTAATATCAATAAGTTTGCAGTTGCAATGCCATCTGCAACTTATTAACTGTTATTTTATTGTAAGTTTCATTCTAGATTGATACCCCAGTGCTCAGAATAGAAGGTTCTGAGTCTTACCCATGTGCTGCAAAAATGTGTTGTGTTTCTTCCTTCAGGAAAATTGATTTAAAAGTTTATGCCAAAGCCAAGATTTTTATTGAAGACATTAAATGAATATTCCTTCCATTGTTCCATTATCATTACTCTTGGTTGATAAATATTGAAATGCTACTGTTTTTATCTTTTGGGTTGTGGGGGCTGATTTTCTTTAATAATATTCAGGTGGTTGTGTATAAAGCTAGAAAAATAATTCTTGTCCTAATTATTAAAACATTTATTATTTTTGGATGTTGTCTTTGTTGTTAGTATTATGTTTTAAAACTTAAGAACCAAAGGTTCATTATCGGTTGCAGCAGGATAAGGAAAATCTATTGATTTACTGTATTATTGATGTTTGTAGAGTGGCCCAAGCATACTTAAATCAAAAGCGGCTTGATGCTGAGGCAAAGCAACTTCATCACAGTGCCACAAACTTTGCCAAACAGACCCAACAATGGGTCAGCCTTGTAGAAAGTTTCAACAGTGCCCTCAAAGAAATAGGAGATGCTGAGAATTGGGCCAGAAGTATTGAAAAGGATATGCGTATGATCACCAGTGCTCTTGAGTACTCGTACAAAGGTTTGTGTCCATGTCTTTTTTAACTTCTCGTATAAACAACCCCTCTTTTTTTTTCCTGGTCGTATTTACAAAGATTTTGAATTTTTTGTTATGTTTGTGAATGAAGTAGGCTTAAGAACTTATAATGAATAATAAATTTGGTTACATTTTGTCAACAATCTTTTAAAAAAATTAAGTTATATCTATAAGTGTTTCTTTATTGTGTTCTGGGAGAAAAAAATGTAATGAATAGAAAAAAAAGTCCTTGTTAATGAATTCCAGAATGGCTTACTTGTAATATCTCTGATATAGATCCCTACTATAAATAATTAATAATTTGAAGACAGAAGTATATGTTAAAATGTTAAGTTGTCTCAAGTTAAATATTTTCTCATCGATGTAAAGTCATTATCACAAAGTAGAAATAGTGAAACAGTTTTATTTGATTTCAGTGACGCAAGAAACCCAGTGATCTTTATTTGGGATTGATGAACTACATGTGCTTATTTTATTTATTAATATGTTGTTAGTAAAGGTAATAAAATTTGTTAATTTGATTTTCTATGTACCAACTTTATTTTTAATGTAATAAATTTATCTGAGAATAAATAATTGAATTGTATATGAATTCTTGTTTGCGTTAATTAATCAGTTTAGATGAATTATGAATGGAATAAAGAATATTCACTCGTGCTAAATTAATAACATATTTTGTGAATCACGATATCTTATTTTTTTTAAAACTACCTGAAGGATCTACCTTTGTGGTTTGCTTTGCATTATTATTTTCTTTAGAGGAATTGTAACCGAATTCATCTTGTGGGATGAATAAACAAACAAAACCTTTCATTCCTGATCATTATTTTTCCCAAAACGCAGTTTTCCAGCCAAGGAGATAATGTAGAAGAGATTTTTGTCTTGATATGGAAGAATTAGTAGGGAGTGGAGTTTCTTTTCTGTTACAGCTGTTGGTTTCCTTGAGTTTCCCAGGTTTCTAATGTGCATTATCACTACCTACTTTTCCAATGTAAGAAAGCTAGATAAACCTTTTCTGAAAATGATAATCCAAATTTGCCTTCCTCTTCCTTAGTTCAAATATTTTTTTGCAGTAGATTGGTATGTTCATTGCATTTTAGTTCATATTTTTTCAATTTATGAAAATCTTGGAGAAAAGGTAAGTTAGAATTGTTCAGGTAGGGAAGACAATATATTAAAAATTTCAGTGGTGTAAGTTAGAAATTAATAATAATAATAATAATTGTTTATTTGCCAATAGACTTGTACAATATGTTTCAAGCATCAACAGAGTGTAATAACTTAAAAATGGTATAAAACCAAAATAACACATAATATACAATTTATAAGAAAATACATGTACTTACGACATACACATACAAATTAAATTATGGAACTAATACAGTTTCTATTCCATTAGTTCTTTTTATTCATAGGGGCACATTTCTATTAAATACCTTTTTAATAAGCCATTGAATTTATTTTCTTCACATAAATCGTTAACATTTTTAGGCAGTTTATTATATAATAAGATGGCTGTGTTGAGGGCTTTTATTTGTTGAGGCTCTAGATGTAAATAATCTATGGTAGTTCTCTTTGCATCTAGTACTATAACTAAGCAATTCACTATTATGAATGAAGTGTAAGCTATATTTCCTTCTGAAGAGAGTAATGATTTTAAAGGCATAAAGAGGTATTACTGTTATTGTTGTGTGTGGTGAAGTAATTCTTACATGACTGTGTAGGTTTTAGTTAGAAACTGTATCTCTTTTTTCTAGAATCATAATTTATGTTTAGAATGGTTCTACTACCCCATATTTCTATTCCATATATGGGTGTATTATCCCATAATATATTGTTGTAAGTGTATCAGGTGTCATGCTTTTCCTAAAATATATTAATAAGAAGATATTAGAGCTTATTTTATTACTTTTTTCACTAATATATTTATTGAAAGTTAGGCTTTCATCAATATATATTACAAAAAATGTATGGCATTCAATTGTTTTATAGTTTCATTTTTTACCCCAACGCGAGTATAGTTATTTAAGATCTTAAAGTTTGATAAATTAAACTAAAATGCATTTGTTTGTTTTTCAGTATTTATGATTAAAATGTCTAAGTCTTAAGTAACAAGATATATGTTCCATTGATTTTGTCATTTAATCATTCATCTAGTGTAATTAAGTCTTTAGTATTGCCAACAACTGAGGTGTCATCTGCTTATGATATTAAAATATAGTCTCTGGTCTTGGGAAAATCATTTACATATAATAGTTGAAAAGTAGAGGACCAAGTACTGCCAAAAATAATTGTTTCAAACTTTGACTGTATTTTATCAATTTAATGTTCAATTCCCAACAAATATCTGTACATTGCTAACAATTTATTAGGTATGAAGGAAGGTATCAACTGAAGAAAATAGTATTTCAAAGTACTGCAGGGCAATGACTAGAGTAGATCATTCTTTATTGTCTCATCATCTTACTAATAATTCTGACAGCAAGTTGAGATACACTTTCCATTTTGGAGAAAAATAGTTCTTTTAGATATTATGGTGGTTTTAACTCAAACATTTGTGTCATAAATTCCTGTTTTTCAGGACATCTATAATATTAACAGATAGGTTTATTGTCTTTCCTACAGCTACAGCAGTTGTAATTGTTCATGAAATAAGAAATTGGGTTACTTTGGTTGCCTTGAAATTTAAGCTCTTGTTTTTCAATTGAGTATGTTGGAATCTACAGCTGTGTATATAAGTACTTTCATTAAAAAATCTTGGAATTGCAGTGAAATAATTGTTGCAGTAAATGTTATTAATTAAAAAAAATGTTTCTTGAATTGAACCCAACAAAACAATGTTTAAAAAACTTAACCAATACAAACGATTCAATGTCAAAGCAATCAATTTATGATTATTCAATATTTGAGCATTGCTTTTCAATTACAAAAAATCATATGCACAGAAAGATAAGTTTTTTGGGTTTCCAATGAGAGCCTACTGTAAAGTGTACATTATAAGATACGAAGTCCAGTAACCTATTTGTCAGGGCTAGAGTGTTTACAAGTCATACTTTTCAGAAATACTTACTATAAGCGTTTTTTTTCGAGTAGCAGAATTGCAAATTTTGAGGTGAAACTAATATTAAAGGGTTTAAACTTTTGCGAACAATTTGACCAAAAAGACAAGATGCAATTTTCGGCCCATAATATAAAGAATCTTGTGCAAACTTATACATCACTAGGCGTGATTAAAAACATACAACTTTCCATGGAATTATTTCATCCAATCTTATTTTCTGCGACGGAACTGATTGGGACAATGCGGTTCGCATAATTCGATTTGCACTTATCGGAACATTTTTCCTGTAAGATCCAGCCAAAGACGTGCGCCAACACACCCTCCTAAATAATACTTATGACAGAGACAACGACGTACTGAAACCAAAGGGAATGGATACAACTGTATAAGAACGTACTGAGTAATCAACCACATCCACATCTCTCAGGCAGTCGCCATATTGAATAGGACCACTGCGGAGTCAAAATGTGGTACGAGTTTGCTTCTTTATATACGTGTATTGCGTCGCATTAAAATGATTAGAGAAGCGCATTGAAGTTAACGTTAAAGCCTCGGGTTAAGTGACAAGATTTAAAGGAAAGTGACGCAGGATCATGGAAACATAGAGTCTTTGAAAAGAAATAGAACAGAACACTCGTCTGTCCTGTTTCTTTCGACACTCCCTTCTTTCCTAAGTTGCGATTATAGCTGAAGTGATGGAAATTGAATACAAAGTAATCTGTGATAAGCGTCGACTACGTCAACAGGAATTGGCGAAGTAGGTACGTTCTTCAGTAAGTGATTTATCTTGACTTTACGATAATGGTTGCGTGTCTACTTACGAGGTAAAAAGACAAATTTGCATTAGAATATGGGCGTAAATGTCATCGTGAGGTTAGTACGAATTGTTGAAGTAGAATGGATAATTTGTTGTTGATGTGAATATGCGAGACGCTGTTGGTTGAAGAGTGCGTGATTCTTCGTTCCTATCTATTCGTCAAGCGTATTGCTGCTATATATTATTTTGATGAAAATGAGCTGAATTTTTTTGGGGCGTGGTAAGGAGCCATGGTTTTCGCAAATATCATTTTTTTAATAACACTGGTTTGGTATTTTAGTAAAAAATCCCCTTAGTACTAAAATAAAAAGTATAGTATGTCAGTTTTGACGTAAGTCATCTTGTTCGTTTTGATATGTTCTTGTTGAATGCTTTCTTTATCAGGCATTCTTTTGTATTAATTTGTTTGTGGATCCTCCAAGATAATGTACTCTAATGCCCAACCAAGAACACAAAGATTAAAGTATTGACAGTTTTGTAAAAAAAGCTGTGGAAAATGCAGTGTCAGAAGAAAATTGTGATAATTAATGTTTTCTGTATTCAAATTGTAGCAAAACATCTTCAATATAAAGTTTCGAAATAAAGCAGTCATTGGATAGTAAATACTAGCAAAGATTCATTCAAATTTAGTAGTTGTACTTTATGTAGTTTATTGTGTATATTTTGCAAATGTACATTCCCGCCTGAGATATGACATTAATGTTCTGGGGAAGGTCATGCTACAGTACCCAAAATTTTAGATTGCAGCGAAAATTGTACGAATAATAAGCAAATGCAATCAATGTGATTCTTGCCAGCCTCTCTTTACTAAGCGTGGAATCTTACTGATGTCTTGCCAATCAGTATGCAAGTTTAAGTACGAAGAAACATATTTTCTGCTTTATTACTGTTTCGGTACAATTAGAGACTATACTGACCATAAAAATAATCAACAATGATATAGAACGATTTAGGGTACGTTTGTATTTAGTATTGTATAATTTTGAAAACATTTAAAATGCCTATAACAAGCAATGTACTTCAGTTTTTTGGTTAGTACCCTGTACTGATAAGACCAGTTTCCCTGGTCTACTGAGCAAATGCTGATATTGTGACTTGTTTTGCTTCTGGATATAAATGTAGCTTCACCATGTGCACATTTTCTTTTTGGTAGTTGGGATGGGAGTAGATCTGAGGGTATGGGTTACTATCTTGTTAGCAATGCTAAAGAACTAATGTGTAGTTGTTTTCCCAATGCAAATAAGTTTTTTATAACTTTGGAGCAAAGATGTTAAGTTTACAAATGTTGCTATCCTCTCTTTGGTGGTACTTATATTCATCATTCAACTATTTATTGTTAAAGGGTGGTGGGGAAGATATTCTGGAGTTCCAGAAAACCTTTGCAAATTGTAGTTCTCTCCTATGCATTACTTACTGTTTTACTGTTCGAGGCAAATAAATAAAATTGAGATTTATAATATTTTTGAAAAATTTTATTTTTGAATGTTCTGATTTTCCGAAGTAGTATTGCCAATGAGAGACTTTTTTGAAGATGTGATCACCATTCTATTCTTCAGATTTATTAATGCATGTTATTTATTGCACAATATTTAACAAATGTCATCTACACGGGAGTTTGAAATGGAAGATTTACTGACACCGAAAAACTAATTTTTGTGCAGGTGGGAATGGTGTCCCTAATTTTCATTTTTAATTGTGTTCATGCATTACCCTCAAAAATTATGATTTAGGGGATTGTTAGTTTGGATTATCTGATAGGATTGTTAATATTCAGTATTTAGGCTAATGGTGTTTGTTATGAGGAAACCAATCACTTTCTGCTTCTGTGGTAGGTGTGGCATTCATTGAAGGAGAGTGGCAAGATGCCTGCTCCTCCGCCTCCACCTCCTCCAGGCCCTCCTCTGCCTTCTGCTGGTCACCAGGGTGGAGGAGATGATGGCCGGAGTATGCTCCTGGAATCCATTAGGAAAGGAAAAGCTCTGAAGAAAACCACAACAGTTGATCGGAGTGCTCCTGCTAACGCAGGTTCTAATTAATCTATTTATTATTTATAATACTTGTAGTTTTCCATTATAATACCATATTACAATAATAATAGTAAAAACTATGGTTTTATTTTCCTCTTTTGTTTTTTTTGTTTAAAAAGTCTAAAAAGGGGAGGTTGTTACGGTAGTGTAATGAAGTGAGTATGGGTTTACCAGTAAAACTTGTATTTGGGCCCCCTTTGTAAAAGTGTATAGCAAACACAAGTAGTGTTAGTAGCTTATATAATAAAAATATCCCCTAAAAATAGGCCCTCTTACCGGGGCCCAACTGCATTGCGGGTCTTGCAGGCCCGAATGTTACGCCACTGGGCTCTTACATGGAAATCATTGCATTGTGGAAATAATAAAAAAGAAAATTTTGTGAAGCTATAGTTGTTTTTGTTTTGAATGTGAGAAGGATTATTATGTATGCATGACTCAGATTGAAGGTGTTGATTCCTTATTGTTGTATGACTTCTTTTGTCAGGAGATATAAAGATTATTATTTGTTTGCAGGGAAAGTGTGTGGATCTGAAGCTCGTGTGCCTAGTAACAGCTCAAGCGGAAGTGTTCGAGGTGGAAGTGGTCATGTACATTCTAAACTAGGTTCAAGTGGTGGTGGAAGCAATGGCTTAATGGGTGGACTAATGTTAGATGGAATACCTAAATTGAGGCCTACCGGACGAACTCTGGGTGAGCAGTATGAAAGTAGTGTATCTTAAGACTTCTTTGTAAGCTTTCTCTGATGGCTTACAAGCCATAATGCATAATACTATTTTGGATTTATGAAATTAAATTTTATTTTATTTTAGGAGATGGTACTACTGGGTCCATTCGCTCCCCTCATCCTCCTCAGCCTACGCCACAGGTAAAAAAATATTCATATAATTTTGTGAAGAATGTGCATTAATATTAATGGATATAGGGTGTTTGAAGTAAATGTAGTGTTAAAGATAGGAATTAAATAAATCTATTCCCTATTAAGGGTTTATTTTAATTTAATATTTGTTTTTCCTTCCCTAAGAATGGTCATGAGTAGTCTGGATTCGTATTTAGTTATGTTTTTCTGTCTTTCTGTATTCAGTTCTCAAGATAGTGATCAGTGCAAACCTAACACAATATTAAAATTTGTCTTTGCAAACTTTTTCATATTTTGTACTACAGTAGATATATTGCTTCTATTTTACATATTTTCCAAAACTTATTTTTATTCTACCAATTAAAAAAAAAAATTATTTTGCACAAAATATTATTAATATACAACACAATATAATAACACAAAATAACTCAGTTTTAAAATAGTTTTTATTACAAAAAATTGCATATTTTTTTCTTATTTATGTTCAGTTTTGTGTGGTGATGACAAGGTGTTTCATGTGAAAACATGAGGAGATACTTGTGGTCTGTTTGGGTTTATGTCAGTCGTAACTGCATTTATGTTGTGACAAATACATATGAATTCAGATAGTATTATCTTGAGGTGTGTAATGTATCAATTAACTTGTTTTCCAATTTATGAGAGGTATTGATTGTAATCATAGGCTTCCATCGCCAGAGTTATGTGAAGGCTCTCTGCTGTACAGGTGACACTGTGTTGATGGCACCGACATTTGAACCATCATGTTGTGGTCTTCTATGAGGCTGGAGTGCACTCCAGGATTCCATCTGGGTTGATGTTCAGCGTTGGTCTACTATAATCTTACCTTTGCATAACCTATATCTAATTTAATGTTCGCGGCCTACTATATCTAAATTAACCTAGGTGTCCGGCGCTTATATCTAATTAATATGAATGGCAAAGATGTAGCCTGAAGTAAGTTTCTTGTCACAAGTATTGCAGTGGCGTACATTTTTGAAGATCACAGAACATTTTTGAAATTTCAGAGTGGGAACCCTAACTGCATAAGAAATGTTAATGTGTCAAGTAGTATTGTACAATGTCAGAAAAATATTTTATACTGTATTAAGAAAATTCTGAGTTGTACAGAACAAATAGAATTGGACAGAGAAATTACAGAATCTTAGGTAAAACCACGGCTATGGGAGGAAACGTTTTGAAATGTCAACCACAGTGCTCCTTACAAATTGTTAATATATAATTATTATGAGTATGTGCGAAACATGTCAGAGACCAGAGATAAACAACAGCAATAACTGCTGCCAACAACAGTGAGGTGCCTCTTTTGCAAATGCTATTGGGAATAATAATTTATATAGGAGATGCTTTCTCATTGAAGGAGCTGAGTAGAACACACACTATCATTTGTAAGATAATGTAGGCATAAGGTTCATTGTATTGAGATATAACTTTGGTGCAAACCGCTGCCACCAGATGTGACATGCTGCCCCTCCAGAAGCTGTTTGGTTATAGCATATTCCCAGAGGTGTGTGTTCAGGTTAGGAAGTTCTGTGGTTACTTATTGGTTGTTTGTTATGCATTGAGGGGGGCAAGGGGATTTGATGAGCCAAAAATCTAAGAGTTTGCATAATAATGTTTATTTACTGCATTATGTGGGAGAGGCTAGAGAGATATAGGGGAGAAACAGCAAGGAAAGGGATGAGAAACTTGCTAGGTAGACAAGGTGGGGAGTTGAGTTCGACGAAAGCGGCTGTGTACCACATTGCTCCATCATTCATCCATTTCTCCCTCAACAGTGGCAGCAAGAGCAGAGCATGTCGCTGATGTCATATTCTTCGACTTGGCTTCTCATACTAGTGTGGCTTGGGCCTCCGGCATAGCTCTCGCCGGAACTGCCTGTCTGCTCGGCTCTCGAGAGAACTTTCCTCAAAGGCCTGGGTCCATTTATATATCATTATGGTAATTGGGAAAATCTTTCTGAAGTCTTTTACAAAGGAAGGTGGATGTCGAGGGTGGTGTCAACATGTTTTCCAATTCGTAACGTGGAGATTTTCCCATTCAAGCCAAATGGCAATAAAATATTTTATAATAAGATATAGGATATTGTCACTTGAATGGTGATTCATCACAAGCTTCATCTACACATGTATCATTCTTTCTTTCATTGTGGTCCTCCCATACTGCTACATCCTCTGGCTTTTTATGCCCTTCTCAAAGTTCTACGAACTGAATTTGGGTTCTTTTTCTATCATGTAATGGCATCTATAGAACATTCCCTTCTTATTAGCCACTAATAGTTAGGTATTATAGATAGGCATGATATTATTATTGTGTCTTTGCAGCTCATTATTATGTCAAAATTTGTGTTTCACGTCATGGAAAGGCAATGTAGAATCATAAATCCTATCCTACAAGGTTTAATCTGCAAGTATAATATGACCCCATATTTTTCAAATGAGATATTTAGGGAAAAAACCTTATCTTATATTATTTGTTTATTTCTACTGGCATCTGCTTATTCCAGTCAACTATAGAAAAAAGTAATAAAGAACAATCATTGAAGTTGCAAGTAGTAAAGAATAATCAATAGAACACCTGTGCAAAATTATAACTACATGTATAAACCATAATACTGCAAAATTATAAAGAATAAAATACAATAGTTGATCAACAAAATTATCTAAAAATTAGTTCCTTCACTTCTTTGATAAATTGATATGGTGTCAAAGCACTGAGATCAATTATATTCACAATAACACACATAGGTCTAATTGGTGTGTTCATACCCCAGTTTGTGTTGCTTTTTGAAATCTGAAAAATTAATACCACACTTGATTTAATACTAAATTTTAAATTCTCCACAAAATGTCATGTAACAAATTATTACAATTGATCTCATCCATTGATAATTTATAAAAACTAGTGGTGCTACTGAATGGCACAGATTTTCTTGTAGTAAACTTTTCTAATTTCCTTGGTGTGGACTGGCTGTACAGTCTTACCCCATCCTCTTGCCAGCTGTTACCTATTGCTGCCCAAAGTACATTTTTGTGACATTTTCTCAATTTTTCAGAGTCCTAATAGTAGAACTTTAATATTACTTTAAGAATATTAAAGTTGTCATAAATGGCAATTTTCATTGAAAAAATTGGAGTTGTTCTTAAATTTGGAGTTGTTGAACTTGCGTTTAAAGCTTACTGTAAATGCGAAATTTGAAGTTCTTTTTCACAGAAAATTGAGTTACTTTAACTCAAAAATGCAATAGTGTTTACAAATGACTGGAATGTACATAACACAAGATAGAGATAAAAAGAAATACATTTGTTTAAGTTTTGAAAAAAAAAACAAATTAAAAATTCCCCGAAATGATTTTTACGTCATATTAGAGAGTGTAATTAACACTACCTGGGAAAAAATTTAAATTTGGAGCTGTTCTTGAGAAAACAATGTTTGAGTGATTCTGAAAAAGCGGAATTTTGAACTCATTTTCACAGAAAACTGTTGAGTTTTTGAGAAACTGTATATAACGTTATTTAAAGCACATGTATTCATAAATACAATAACGGAACAAATTGCTGTTAATGTAAATATTAATAACTTGAAATACATGTAAAAAAAATATTTCTTTTGTAATTTTTGAAAAAAACAAAAGTTATGTAGCAATATGTGATTTATGTCATCTTATAGTGTGCATTTACCACTATCCCAACCAAAAGTTAAAAGAAAAAATGTGAAGCCATTTTTGAGAAAATTTTGTTTTTGTAATTTTTTACAATGGCAAATATTGCATGCAATATTGTGTGAAAACTACTAAAAGTTTCAAAAACTGTTCTAATCTTAATGAAAGAACTATGTACAACAAATTTTATTTGAAGGAAAAATCTATCTTCAATTTTGTAGTTGTAGGAAGACACAAAAAATTCATGGATGTTATGAAAAAAGCACCTTTTGATATCAGGAGACTCCCTTCAAACGTTTATTTCCGTTTAAATTGATTTTCCTCAGCATAACACCACTATCTCTATTCTATGTACATTACTCTCTATATAAGTATGCATACAAGAAAGTAACTGTTAATTATTATATTCACGATGTGACAAAAATGAGCTGATTTTAAAGTTTTGGCATTCTTGTAATCGTGTGTTTATGTTTGTGAAGGAACATGCAGCCTCTATTTAATGTGCATAAAAGATTTGTGTTTATTTTTATTTTTATTTTATGAATTTTGAAGTAAGGTGAATGCGCGATCACAGGAATATAGGCACAAAGGCATCACAGAGTAGAAGAATTGGTCTCACTAACGTTGAATAAAGCATTCGCAAAACTAATATATTAACACAATTACACAGAAGTGTAATGCTTTATGAAGCCAAGTGTTGTATTTGTGTTGTTTGTTATATTGTCCATGTGATTTCAAAGTTTGGTCAATAATCACTCCAAGCTAGTACTCTGTAAAGACGTCAAGGGTTTGTCCTCCCAAGGAATATATGAAATCAATTAGATTCCTTGATTTTGAATATTGTACTAGGTAACATTTACCAGCATGCAAATTATGATTGCTGCTCAAAGGTATTTTTCCAAGTGTGTGAGTAAATACAGTATTTTACCCTGTTGTCTTACAGGGAACTGGACAGTTTCAGCAATTTTAGTGTAAAACAATTTCTGCACAGTAAACAAAATTTTTGTAGTGAAAGACATTGCACTTTGTTATGATTGGTTGCTAAGTGAAGAATGCAGTAAGAACTTTTATTTTATTTTATTAGTGAACAGGTTATGAGAATTTTATTTACGTCCGATATTCTCTACCTAGATATCTATTGCAGGGATTTGTGTAAATATAATGTTTAATGTACTAGTTATACGTTTGTAACTTTGACTAAAATGTTGGAAAAATCAATGTGTATCATTCTGAGCCAGTTGTTTTCACTTGCAGTTTTACTTACAGCTACACATGTTCATGAAAAAATGTTATATTCTTACCTCAGGTTAACAATATCATCTTGAAATTAATTATTGGAACATAATATTTATGTTAAAATTTATGATAATTATTGATTTTTAAGGACACTAAAACAAGTATAGATTACAAAAAATATATTTATTGTTATATTAATAATATATGTAATTTGATATTCCATACTGCGCAGAATATGCTGATGAATAATTTTGGGGTTCTTAGACCTTTAAATGTGTCTCATAGTAGATATAAATATGGTGTTCAAGGATCATGTGGAAAATCTAAGATGACAGAAATTGTCAGCATGGCTCTTGCCTACAGGATGGCGATTCCTGGTATAGATTCCAGAAATCTAAAAAAGGATTTAAAAAAGGCATTTTCCCCCACATTCTGGTCATTATTGATGAGTTTGGGAGTGGAAAGTTAACTTTAAGTTAGTCATTCTCTTTAACTCTCCTCTCCACCCTTTCCAGAGGTCATATGAATAACAATTGAGAGTGAAAAAAGTTAGCAATGTTAGAAACGTTAGCAAAGGACGACCATGAAAATCACTAACTTTATATTAATTTATTGTGGTTCAAAAATTTTTTCATTAGTACGTTATATAAAATAGAACTTCAAAACTGTAAGAAATAAGGGATGCTGATATGACGGAAAACATTTCACATTTCCTTTCTTTCTTTTTTTTCCCTTCAAGAAATGGGAGAGGTGTTGCTTGCACAAAGTGATAATTATTAATCGAAGAACTAAAGTTTGTGGAAGCATATTCATTTCACAGCAACTTTCATTTCTAGGTTTGTGTTGCTTTTCAGCAAAAAGATCACACAATATCTAGAACTAGTTCAAAGATGCAGCTCATTTAGTAAGGATAGATAGTAAGTACCATTGTTTCTTCTAATGTCCTGACCTCCCATTCTGGATGCTAGTTTGTGGTTATATGTTTGTTGCCGTGTGATACAGACCACTGGTTTTCATTGTATGTAAGAAGAGTCGGCGCAATGCAAACATTTTGTAGGGACTTTCAATTAACAAATTCTTAATATTATTTTTATTCTTGATTTCTTGAAGCGCAATGATGGTGCTTCTCGACGACCATTTGGTGGTGAAGTTCGCAACCGAGGGCCACCTCCGCAGCCACCTCCTGCCAATCAGAAGCCTACCATATCCACGGTAAAGGATTATTTTATTTATCAGACAATCTGTTTGACTAACTCCACTCATGAGATCTCTCCCAAGAATTTGAAATGCTTTTAATGAAATTTTGGTACATCATTCTGCTTCTTTTTTTGATAGTAGATAAAATGAAAAATGTTAAAACCAAGATTTGGTTTGGTGTTGTATGGCAAAATAGATAAAATTAAACACACACACACACAAATAAAAAACAAACAAAAAACAACAACTTAAAACAGAAAATTTGTTTTATTTCAGTCTCTTACAAGGGTGAATAATTGGCTTGGTTTATGTGGACATAGTAACGTCTTTGCATAAATTTTATTTTATTTTAAATAGTATTTTTAAAACATACAGTATGAAATATTAAAAGAAATGTTGATAGAAATGTAAATGCTAAAACTGCTCTGAATCATTTTACAAGCAGGAAATTATCTTTCCAGCATGTAGGAAATCAATGATGCTGAGCATGGCTAGACTAATCCAATTCAACACAATTTCTGCTTTGGTCTGATTTTCTGTAGGAATGCTTCTGATGTTATTTTCAGTGTCCATGACATTAAAAAAGCACAAGTCCTCAATTTGTACTAAATGTATAGGCATTTTTACGTTGTATTAATGTAATTACTTGATTTTGTTAAGTCATGAAATTAGTTCAGTTTTAATTTGGAGACTCTGTTAAACAAGTTATTAGTCATATCCCTAAAAATGTAAAGTCTACTGATGAGCAGACAAAATACCAAATTTTGAAACAACCTATTGTATTATGATCATATATTATTTGGAATTTAGTGCATTGAAGTTAGTGGGTTTTGAGGTTCTTATCAGAAAAATAGGTTTTTGCATTCACAAAACAGTATTCTTTGATCTTATAGGACGTATTTTAAAATGAGAATTAATTGTAGAATGTAATTGAGAATGGAGGTGGAGTGTTGGAATTGAAGGCTTTTGTGATGATCTATTAATTCATGCACATTCAACTTAATTGGTTCTAAGAGATGTCGACTAGATTTAAGAATTTTGATATATAAAAAGGTCTGATATCGAGGAGGAAGTAAAATTGAGAGAGGTTTTCTGTGTTATAAAAGTTAATGTAAATATTAATTTTTTAAGAGTTAAAAAAAAAAATTATAGATAAAAGCTTTATTTTTCAGTTGGGCATATGTTGTATGGTGGCAGAATGTAGAAACATTAGAAAAAAATACTATTACAGAAAACAATATAATATGTGTGTATATATAAATATAAAACAACATACATATACAGCCTGCATACATGCATGCATATATACACGCATGTGTACATGCATACAAACATACAAAGACCTATCAACTCTCTCATATACACAACCCTGTTCTTTTAATTCATAAGAATATTTAGACAATTATTGATAAATATTTTTACCTTTATAACTCCACAATACAATACTTCATTACATTTTCACCCTATTGACTAATTTCCTAATATATCTCCTCAAAAACTGCCGGAGGCAAATTGTTCCAATCTACTCTTGTTCTGTTTACAAAGGACAATTTGCCCAAGTCCGTTCTTTGCATTCTTGTTCTAATTTTATATCTATAAGTAAATCTATTTAAATAACCTGGTTTATCTAGCCTTCCCAGAATTTCCTGCCATACAGAGCAACCAGTGTAAGAATATACAGTGTGCAAAGTCGTGCCCTCATTTTTTGGTGTTCTAATAATTTCCAATGAGTAGGTATGTTTCTCCGAAATTTATATTTTGCCACTCTGGTTAGAATCCTCTCTAAGCCTTTATTAAAACCTGTTTTGCATTGATCTCAACAACTAGCTGCGTATTCCATTACCGATCTAACAAGTGTGATATATGCAATTTCTTTTGATTTCGTATGGCATTTTTTAAGATTTCTCATGACAAAATACAAAGACCTCCAAGCTTTACCCAGTTCATAGTTCATTTGTTTCTCCTATCCCAACTTGCTGTCCAGTAAGATGTTGAGGTATTTACAATTACTTAGGCATATCCCTAAATATGTAAAATCTACTGATGAGCAGACAAAATACCAAATTTTGAAACAACCTATTGTATTATGATTATATATTATATGGAATTTAGTGCATTGAAGTTAGTGGGTTAGTTTGCGGAACTACATCTGGCTGATAGGGTGACTGAAAGTATGAAGAGCTCTGGCCCTTCGAAATATGTTAGCTTTACTTTTTTTTTTTTTTTTTTTTTCATTTATAGTTATTTTATTATCTCTTGCCCAATCATAAATTTTATGTAAATCATCCTGTAGTTGAATCATATTGTGCTGCTCAGCAATTTCCCTATGTAATATTCAGTTGTCGGCAAAGAATCGAAATTTAAAGTTATGTTTTGCGACAAATCATTTACAAAGATACGTAAGGGCAGTGGGCCTATGTCACATCCCTGAGGGACCTCGGAAGTAACATTACCGGTTTCCGGAAAATACTGTGTAATCCGGTTGTTTTGATTTCTATTGCGAAGAAATTTACTTATGCTATTACCCGCCTGTCAATTTTAGCATTAATGTGTTTCAGTATCTGAGAGTCACACAGCACTCCATCAGACATTTTAGCAAAATCAATAACTATTGCATCCCTTATATCAATTACTTCAGACAAGTCTTGGGTAAGGGAAATAATCTGACTTTCACATGAAATGCTGTTTTTAAAGCCATGCTGTCCATAAAAAATCCATTTTGTTTGATCCAAATGATTTCTAATCGAATTAGATACTAATTTTTCAAACAGTTTACAAACTACTGATATAAAAATTAATTGTTCTGTAATTTTGCACTTATCTGGGTATGCAATTTTTTATGTTGCAGAGTGCATCTGACTCTGTTCTGACTGGTGGTTCACGATCTGATGGTCTCAATGTATCAGGCAGTCACAGTCATCTTGTGGGCAGTGCAAGTCCACCAACTCTTCCTAGCAAACCTGTGATCAATCATGGAAAACCAAATGTGGCTCCAAAACCACCAGGAGTGGCTCCAAATCGCCCATCTCCTCCGCCTAAGAAGCAGACTATGAATGGGAGTGGCCGGACACCAGTGACACGCACCCAAAGTATGCGTGTACCGAAATCACCACCTGTGGCGCCACCTATTGGACCTGTCTTCCCTGCAGGCAAAGAACTGGGCAAAGGCCCTATGGCCTTTCATCAGTCCCAGGACTCTCTCCACTGTCGCACAAATCCTCCTCCTCCTCCTCGCACAAATACATTGCCTTCCAATTTGAATCATCATGGAGGTCAGAAAGCATTTGCTCCTCTTCCTCCTTCAGCCCCTCCACCTCCTGCTCCAGTTAATCGGTTTATGCGACCTCCAGGCACCCGGCCTCCGCCTCCTCCTATTCGTGTTGGAGGACCCATGAATCCACCTCCCGGACCCCCTCCACCTCCACCGCCTGTTGCTCCTCCACCCCCTCCTCCCCACCATCATCGAAATTCCCCTGCCCCTCCTCCTCCACCAGCAGCTCTGCAGACACGGCTTACGCCTGCTGTAAGTAGAAAGGAAAGTTTTTTTTTCTAATGTTAGTTTTCATTTCACAGACATACTCCATGGTGACTAATATTTTACGTAATTGTAGAAACTCGATATATTTGTGTTTTCATTTTATAAGCATGCAAGATCCTTTAAAATGTATTGCCTTTTGTGCAACAATTGTAATCATGTTCATTTCGAAACCTATTTGATTTCTAATAATTAAATTATTTTGTTGCAACCTGCCTCTTTTTTTAAGGTAGTGATTTATGTGTTTGCACCTTTTTAAAATAAGTATTCCCCCCCCCCTTTGTTTTGGGTGTTTCTCCATTGTGAAATGCTAATATTGGTGATTGCATTTTATTTTCAGTCTCCATCATGTGCACCGCCTTTGCCTCCCACGCGTAATTCATCTATGCGAAATGGCCCTGCTCAGACTACTTCATCTGATTTTGATGGAAGATTTGGCGATTTATTTCATTGTGTGGAAGAATTTCCCATGCCCCAACAATACCGACAAGTTAAAAAAGTTTACAATAGTAAAAATGGTATGTGGGATTAAAACGGTTGTTTAAAACCTTCACTGAAGGTTCTCAATGTATTTCTTGGTTATCTTGAGTAATGCCATAACTTGAGCTTTTCTTCCAATGCTTTTGCTCATCATCCTTCTGAGTGAAAATCTGTAGAGATGAGTTGGGCTCTTATTTACTTATCTTCACCCTCCTTTCTTTCTTCCCTTTTCGTCCCTCGTTTCTCAGTGAGAATGAGATCCTATTAATTCTGTGAAGTTGCGTGGAGAACACATTTGTAAACTTTCTATGAAGGATAATTGTCAATGATTCTGCATTGGAAAATAATTACTTGGAAAATAATTACTCTGGCTGGAGAACCATTTATTCACTGTACAGAAAGTTTTCTCTAGTGTTGTCTCAAATTTGTAAACAACAATTATAACAAATATTTAAATATTTTTACAACAAAAAAATCTTAAAAAAAAAAAAAAAAAGGGGGAGAGAGTAATAGTAAAACAAGTTCAGTACAATGAAAAGAGAAATTTCAGCAAAGAACAGCACTAGAATTTGAGCGCAGTTATCATGAATTTTTAATTTTATAATTTTCATTTGACACCTTTTAAACAAGCCAAGAAGCATTTATTAACTCCCTCTAACTGTTGCTTGCCAACTGTGCTTTTCACAGGTTGTTGAATGTCTTTAATTGTTTTTCATTCAGTTTTGTCATGAAGTATATACACGTTTTTGACATATTTGACCACAGATGACACATTTTTCTGGATGAATGTCAATAGTTAATAGAATGCTGTATATTAAATAACAATTTCTGACCAATTAATATTCACTCCTCTTCACACGGTTTTCATTTGTTACTCCCCTCTTCCTCATAACTATACTTACTTTCTCTGTATTTTTAAGAACATGATGTAAATACCTAACAATGCTCTGTATCATAATCTCTTGAATTTAAATTGAGATGTGGATTGTAAGTTTTGATCAGTTAAAATCAGTAAATTGTGTACTGCCCAAAGGCTGAAAAGGCTAAGGACAACAACTTTTGGCAACTGCAGTGTCTTTGCCGGAGGTCATAGGGTTCCAGTCCCTTCAGTGGAGGTCCTAGGATTCCAGGCAATTTGGATTTTTGAAACACACAGGACACTCCTTTTCGTTCCCTGGTGGAAAGAGAATTCTCGTGCTTTGCCACTTTGATCAATAGTTGAGAGCAATACATTGAACAATGAAGCAATACATTGAATTACAAAAGAACATGCTTTCTTTGTTCAATGTGAGTAAATGCGATAGCGGTACCTTCACAAACAGATAACTGACCAAGCATTATCTTGCCTTCCTTAACCTTGCCCCATCCTGTTCCCTACATATTACACACACTACACTACTACACATGTTTAGAGACATGTTGGATCTTGTCCCTGCTGGGGAGGTACACCACTGGTACAGATATATGGAGGGAGATCCCTGCAAGCCAATGTGTAGGTGGGTACTATATCTCATATTTTAGAGGGGAGAAGACACACTGCTTCCTCCCAAGATAAAATAAGCACTGTTCTTTCAGGACTATTGATTGAAGCAGTTAGGAGGCCTGGAAATAAAAGTCAATCAATCTAGGTTGAATCTGTATATTATTCCTTCATCAGAGATACAAAAGACTTGGTCAACCTAATAACAATGTAAGAGAATTGTTAGGTAGGCCTTATGCCTTTTGAAGGCATAGCCTTCAAACATAGCCCCATAACATAGGTTCAAGGCTGATAAAGATGCAGCTCAAGCACTGGCCAGAAGATATTTGAGTTATTTTACTTGACATAAACTCAGATCCATTCTTGAATAAATGTCCATTGAAAAAATGGACTAGTGTTTCATGAAAAATCCCAGTGATGGAAGGATTCTCAATTCAATGCTACCTTACAACAAAGAAAATTATTCATTAATAATTAAAGAACTGATGATTGGGTATTTTTATGTACACAATTTTACTAGCCCAAGTAAATGTTAATTGACACAAGTGGTATTAATATTTTACTAGTGGCCTGCAGCAATAAAATTGCTGCTGAAGAAAAGGTGGGGTGCATGCACACTGCTCAAAAACAACAAATAAAATACCCTTGGGTAACCTGCAGTAAATTAAAATGAACAAAAACTGTTTTCATGAATGCTATATTAACAGTGTGTAGTATATATAGTATACACAGTACAACAGTTATACATCTTTGACATACCAAGAGTATCAAAGTTTGCTATTCCATAACACAACACATGAATAGTAAATGTGCTGGGCAACGTCTTCCTTGAAGAGTTGTTGCATGACATTAGTCGTGTTGTAAACAGTGACTCTTTGATTATGAGTATTCAGTCAGTACACACAATAGGTGGAATAACTATCAGATATTGGCATTTTTCGGTCAAAATTAAAACTTCAATTGCTTTTGGACCTTTTCCATGCTGGGAATCTATTGAACAAATAGAAACCTTTCAGGGGCTGCATAGTTTCTTTTCAATTTCTGTGTGCTCTTGAAACCAGTAATATAAATTGGGAGAAATCGGACTTAACATGCAATTCTTCCAATTCAAGATAGTGAGTTATATAATGTGTAATAAAACAACTTGTTCATTTTTGTAGTTTATTAGGTTAAAAGAAATGAAATACTACAAAATCAATGTGTGTTTAACTTGCATAGTCACTATAACTTCTTGCTATTATTTCCAACTGTGCTATAGTTTTTAAATAAAAATTAATGTTTACCTTGGTTTGCATGCTGCTACCTGCCTTGTTGCAAATATTTGGATATATCCTAGTTGTGGTATATTTAGGATATTTCCATTTTCCTTGTCGTCTTTGATTTGCAGCTCGACAGCCCACATCTCAACAGGCTAAGCAACAAGCACCTCAACCTCCTATGGTGCAATTAAGTGGCCGAATGTGGTCTGGTGATGTCTCTAGCTGCTAGCAGTTGCCATTAAATGTGGTAAGATTCTGTTGTAGCCTTTTTACCCATTAAAACATTCATAATATGTCATTTATTTATATGATTCATTGTTAAACTTTTCAGAAATTATGATGTCATTGCTGGTATATTACCTCTTAGTACACATTAGGACGATACTACCACATAAATAATAATTGGCAATGCTGTTAACATATTTCAACTATGTAATGGCAAAACAGTCAACTATAATGTGTGTTAAATTTCATGCCAAATATAGATTAGTTTTTATCGTGTTATTAGACTCCCTCTAATAAATATCTTAACTAGAATCACCTGTGACATGTTTTCATTTCATCCATTTTAAAAATTTGTAATTTTTAAATAAGTTGAATTTTTTTGAATTTTCTTTGGCAAGCATGTTGTTCTATTTTCTTCTATTGAGCCACTGTTATTGGATCAATAATTGCTACATAATTTCATTTGTCAGCAGAAATAAACAAACTTCATAGAAATGCATTTCCCATGTAACAAGGAGCATGCAAGAGTCATCTTCAAATTTACTTTCAAAATTAATCATTATTAATTAATTTTAATAATTAATATTATATAAAAAATATGTGTAACTAAAAAAAATTCACAAACATTGAGATTGGTGGTTTGTGAAATATTAATACATAAATGAATAATGTCATAACATACTGCACAATATATTATTGCCAGGTAATTTTTAATTCTGGGGCCTACCCATTCTGGGGACTCTCATCATATGCATAGAAAAATCTCTGTACTATTATCTGTTAGAAAAATGTGCTCTTTGAAAATCCTGATGTAAACTAATTTTTCCATTATACTATGCTTTTGATTGGATTACTTCTCTTGCACCATTTTTGATGATGCAAGCAACAAATCCTCTCTGTTCAAATGGAGGAAGAGCTGTCATTTAAATAACATGCACATACAATCACAATGTGGAACAGACTGCTTCAGGAAGGGGTTCAGTATGTACTGTTATTTATGTCCATTTCCTAAGAGAAATTCTCTCTGAACTAAAATGGAGAATCATCGAAGCTGATAGTTAATGGTATCATTAGCAGGTTTCCATGCAGCTGAACCTCATGACTCAGAATGTTAATTGGATTATTGGGTGGGCTTTGTCTGTGACACGGGGGTGGATTTTAATGAAATGTCATTTTTTTTCTTTTCACTGGAATAATGCCGTTTAGTATAGAAATTTATTTTATGTTCTGATGAAACGACATAACCCATTTTTATGTAAGTCTCTTTTTTGCATTTTTCATCTATTTCAATTAATAAGTTATTTTTTAATTTAATTAATGGCACTTGCTTCAAACAATATTATGAAATTCTAAAAACGTTCACCTTAGAATTCCTGAGTAGCCTAAATTTCGTTGCTCATGTAGTGTAATGTCAGTTGTTGTCAGTACTATGTAATCTAAGGTGCCAGAGACACATATTGCCACAATTGTCAGTTCCCCGGATTTCACGATAAAGGCAGAGATTTTCTTTTAAAGAACAATCCAAACTCAGTTTGCAAGCTGAGTTCACTTGAACAAAAAGAAGCCTCGAGTACATCAGTAACATATCCAACAACTTGGTTTGTTCATCTGAAGTGGTTTTGATTAAAAAAAATTAGGTGGTTTTTCTTTGTTTTTAGGACATTTTAAAGCAATTTAAGAGCGTTTTGTTGATTGTTATTTACATCATTATGTTTTAGGTTGTCAAAATAATCCCCCTCCTACTCATAACCTTCTCACTTGACATTACATATGAAAAACACAGTGGTATTTATAGTAATAATAATAATAACAATAATAACAACAACAATAACAATAATAATAAAATGTTTAAAAAAATTTTATGTCACCTGATTATTCAACAATATCTGATTCTTGATTCGCTGATCCAGTTTGCTGCTGAACAATATGGCCAATTGGCAGTAACATTCACCCAAAGTCAGTCAAATGAGTTTCCTAGCAGAGAACTATTTACTTTCATGTCAGGAACCCAACTTCTTCAGCAAAAGCTGTGAACCAGTGGGATATCTCCACATTTGAGTATTTGCTTACATCAGGATTTTTCTAGGGACAAGCAGATAATAATGGAAAATGCACAGTTCATTTCGTAATATCAGACTAAAATAAACAAGCCACAATGGAGAAAGACTATTCTCATGTAGGTTGTGTGTTGTGTTTCACTAGTTGTCTAAAGAAGAAGAACATGACTCTACACTTCATTTCCTTCTACTTCTTTCCCATGGTAATGCACTTGGCTGAACTCAATGAAATATTACTCTTCAACTCAACCAAAATGAAGGACATCAAATGAAACCAAATCTCTTCTGACTTTCCAAATCTCTTCTGACTATATTTAAATCACAAGAGAGACCAAAAGATTAATAAAAGAAAAAATAAATGATACTTCTTTTAAATTGTTAAGATTGTGTTTTAAGAATGTTCAGTAATTTACATATCATCAGCAGTTATAAAAAATTAACCTATAATTCGGTCTTTATTTTGCAAGATGATGATCAAAATCTTATTGTACTATATTAGTGAATCCAATATCAATAATCTCAGAGAATGATATTTAATTTTTTTCAGATTGTCGATTCTGTGAAATAATATTTCTGAGTATTGGTATGTCTTTATTGATAACTTTCAGAATTCTCACATAAGATATTGAATTGAATATGTATGTGATATGTATTTTATGTATTATTTTTCTCACTGTGTAGAAAATCTTACTCATGTAAAATTTACAGCAGTTGATGATTACACCATTAAAATGTAAATGATATGGAAAGATAAAGAAGATATTTTATGTATTCCTCTGGTGTGACTCAACTAATTAACTCAACATTTCTTGGAGTTTTCAAGTTTGGCTATATTCTGTATATTAAGATGTTTTATTTACACTAACCTAAGAGAAAATTTTCCAGAAGTTGTTACATTGAGCTCTTGTTTTGGTCTGGGTAACCAATTCGATATTATATCCACATTGTAAATTAACAGGTTCTTGATCGCTGCAAATGTCTCGCCAAGTTATTTTTCACCACTTAACTATCAAATGGCAGACATTGATAAAAATTTATTAGATATACTCGCAAAAGATAAGATATAGCAAATTGGTATCATCAAATACCTTGGAACCTTGATAAGGGAGTGTTTATTACGCAATAATGTAAGACCAAGAATTGCTAATAAAAGGAGAAAGAATATCTTTACAAAAATAAGGTAATGGATGGCAAAATTGTTTTCTGTGGAATATTGCTGGTATAGATCGAAAACATTGGCACTCAGGAAGTAGAATGATAAATTTAGGTATTGAGAAGATTTGAAAAAATTAGCTGCGCCAAATCAGTGACAGACAAAGAAGTACTTCATAGAATGAGTGAAAAAGGAAGTCAGAAGTGGAAGTTGATAAAATGTCCTGGATGCTACAGGTGGAAGGGAAGTTACCCGTTCATGAAGAGAATATCTGGGATAAGGGAGATATGGAGAGCTGATTCCACTTGAAGACTTCCTGTAGGACAGAATACTAGAGAAAAATTTCCAATTGTGATATCAGTTAATCAAAAGCCTCTGCTTTACAGAAATGCTTTTGACCAAACTTCATGAAGAGTAAATCATCCTGCCTTATATCTATTGCTCTACACTACCCTTCTATGTCCACTTTTTATGTAAATGACTTGTAAACTACTTGGAAATGAACTTAGAACTGCTACTTTAATCATTTCTAATTAAAAGAAATATCTTCGCTTCTTTGATCCTGTTCTTTCATAGACGGAAGTTAGGTGACCCATCTAGACGGCTTCCACAGTGTTTTTCCACTCTTCTCGATTCTCTTCATTCCGCATTGCTTCTTCTAGGCTCATACCAGTGAAGGTCTTGCATTGCTCTATCCATCTCATGGTGTTCTTCCTCGTCCTCCTTTTCCTTCTACTTTACCTTGAATTATCCGTTTCTCAAGCCATACTCCATTCTTTCGTACAATATGTCCCAGGAATTCTTTGTTTGCAGATGTCCGCCAATCTCTGTTGAATGTTTAGTCGGTTTATGATTGAGAGATTAGTCTTTCTTTCAGTCCACAATACTCTTAACAATCGATGGTAGGCCCACATTTCAAAAGCATTAATTATTTTTACTAATGCTGTCCTAAGAAATATAGTGGTATGTTATTATTTATCTGATATGATACGTAGAAAAACATGCAATGCATATTTTTGGGATTAGGATTTGCAGCAATTAAGGAACATGATATTGAAAATAATTAGGACTCATGATATATATCAATAGGATTTTTAGTTACTCAACAAAAATAATGAACAAAGGGGATAGCGAAATAAGATATGCATATTTGCTCCCAGGAAATAAAAATCAATTATGTTGTAAATCAGAATTGATATTTAAAAAAAAAATTTTTTTGCCCATTTAAATCAATTTACCCTGAGTACTTCATACAAATGGAAAAAACCTGTTTTTTAGCTTTTTATATAAGTTAAAATTTTTTTTAACCTTATAACGCCTATGGGTGTTGACTTAAATTATCCTTACGACTTTCTATAGATGATTAAGATGTTTCGAGAATTTCTTCACCCATTTATATCTGATTTTGACCCTTACAATTAACAAAAAAGAAAAGGAAAATTTAAAAAAATGGCTTTTCTTCTTTGTTTTTAACAATACCTCATGATCTGTGAGAGATCATAAAAATACAATATTATTGTGCTATCCCCTTTCTGAATACATTTATGAATAGTGGATCAGAGATAGTTCTGAAGAAGATTGTATTCTTTACTGGAATTTTACCTCGGAAGTGCACAGTTAAAAAGAGAGAATTTAAGAACAGGAGATTTAAATTGTACGCCAATGAATGCGAACTACTCTAGCTTATTTTGAGTAGGAAGATGTTACTTTGTTGGCAAGCAAGAAGATTAGTGAACTGCCTTCAGGAATTGAACCTGTTGATAATTTTCCTAGTATCAGAGTAATATTGCTTTCCTTGGGACTTTCTAATGTAAAAATAACTCAATCTGGATTAGAAATAGGTTTCTCTTGTGTTCTGAATGGTTTATTTGTGCATAAAAGCACTGCCAATTTTCCAATGCTTTTAGATTTCAGAAAATTCTTTTGTGGTAAAATAATGTTATTGTTTAAAAATAAAGCCTATTTTCCAAGAGAGGTGTTAATATGTTCTAAATCGAAAGAGATCCACGAAAAGTTACTATTCAAAGATCCCACAGTTTGGTTGTGTTGTCCCCTCCACCAGTCAGGAGCACCCAGAGGAAGAGGTCTGTGATGGTAGATCTGTGATGGTTTCTGTGACATGATCCCCTCGTGTCAAAGAAAGTTCTGCCATCGCTGGTATATAAACAAAATTCATTTCTCCGTGCAAATGAAATAATGTTTAGTGATTGATTTGGATTGGAAGTAAAATATATCCTTTATTTGTTTTAAATTGTAAAAAAATTTTGGCCCCAATTAAATTGATGCGTAGAAAAGTTGCCTTGGTTGTCCCCCTCCCCTTCTGAGTGCACTTTGGTTTTGTAGTAGTCGATAAAGATTGGTATTTTTCAAGTATTTATGAAACAAATTATTGCTTGGAAGTGAGATAAATTAGTGCCTATCGTACAGAATATCTGAAATATCTTTTCAGATATGTATTATGGTAATGGCATATAATGAATATTGAAATCTCTGACAAGTGAGATACTGCTGTAAGAAGGCTCCTTAAAATTCATGTATTTATCGCTTTGCATTTTTGGGAGGAGCTTGTTTGTGCTGAGTGATTGAAATTGTTACTTACCTTTACCTTACTTACTATTTACAAGCTGCCTCTAAACTTACTGTCTGTAACAAATTCATGAATTTGCTCTCTATTGTTGGTTTGACAACACCATTGCATACTTTGAAATTAATGAGTCAGAAGTTGAGTTCAGTGGTTGTGTTGGTTCCTCAGTATGCATCATCGAGAAATCAACACTAAATACATAATATTTCTCAATTTAAATAACCAAATATCTCAAATTGAAACAGGAAACATGTGTTGGCACATATGCAGTCCATTTATGCCTCCTTGATTTCTTCAATATATGCTAGAAAATTTACAGATTTCAAAAGAATAATGGCATGCAAAAGTAATACAGTAAAATCTATCTTAACATGTACAAACCGGAAACCTGCCTTTACTGGAAAATTTCTTCAGCGCGTAAGGTTTAATGGCATTTAACAATTCATAAAATGGAACGTGTCCAATCCAGAAACGGAATGGTTTTTCATGTCCTTGAGGAAAAAACCTTTAAATAATGGAATTCCTGGAATAACGGAATGGGAGGCAGCTAGGTATGGGGTATGGTTTTTGCAGATACATACGATGATTCTCATCCCAGGATGGGTCTATAAGTCAGACAGATAGGAAGTCTGTATTGGAAAAGGTTTGTGTGGCTGTAAGTTTAGTTTGTTGTAAAAGTAATTTCTTTATTGACTAGTCTGTAATGTATTGTTTAAAGTCCGTTAGTTTCTGCGAATGTCCTCAATAGGCATTCCAGGTCGTCACATTAGTCACTCAGTTTGGGCGTCGTTGTGTAAATGATGTTGCATACTTTTGTCAAAATAATCATGATTTTGGTTATGGTGTAACCGGGTCTTGTGCTAATGATGATTAATCTCTAAAAATAGTAATTTCTGAATGTTGAGCAATTTGAACTTGGTTTCTGTTATTTTCTGTGATCTTGTCAGTCATCAAAGTGGCATGGTAAATTTGACTGGCCAGTCTCTGTTTGATGTCATCTATGTCGTGTCTGTTTATTTTAATGCTATAAAGTCCTAGTCCTGGTAAAATCTGGTCTTTGGTTGTTTTTCATTCTGAAAATGTAAATGGTGTTATGTTGTGAATTAAATCTCTTTCATGATATCTTGCGGTGAGATCCAGACTACTTACCAGTAAAGTCAGACACTGGCCTGTGTTTGGAGCAGAAAGAACTGGCATTTGACACAAAACCTGAATTTCATTTCTCATGCATTCATTTCTCAAGACAAAAATGAAGACAGTTATAAAACATTGGTCACAGAATGGTTAGAAAGCTTCAAAAATATGAGGTGTCTCTGAAAATTCATATTCTGCACTGATGTATTATGTACTCTGATGTTTTTTTAGTAGTCCTGAAGAGACTTTCAATTCCTTGTTGGCATCAAGTGTCGTGTATGTTTTAGATATTGCCAGATTCCCAGATAAAGTTTACCAATTCTTATTTTGGGCAACAATTCTGTTCTCTTCTGATTACATTTACTTGTCAAGCTGACTTCGTGTTTCAATGTCCCGTTTTTGTTTGTCATGTGTTTAAATGTTGCTTCAAGGTACAGAATTCAGAATTTTCTTATTTGATGACACTTTGAAGGGTTCAAAGAAAAGCAATATATTTCAGAGAAGTCATTCTGTACAGAAATGGTTTTCCCATTCATGTTTAAAATAATATTTCATTTGGTTTTGTGTTCTTTTGTACATTTATTGTAATGATAGTGACACATTCATGAACTGTCATTATTTAAGAATTGATCTCTTAAATTTTGCAGTATTGAAACTACGCTGTACATCAGAACTCCATGTGCTGTGCTGTGCTGTGCTGAGCTCTGCTGTGCTGTGCTGGTGTGGTGTGCCCAAGAGTCGAGACTGTGTTCGTGTTGCATTTGTTGAGTGGCTCTAATGGATAATGGAGCACATGCACAAATAGCAATTAAGGACTTACATTCTGAAGACTGACTGTTGTGCTTTGATGGCATTCAGATTTATAATCTATGTTGATTCGTGAGATTTCTCTATTCTTACGTAAACATTTAATTATGCTTGATAAAACTATTTCTTTTGGGTTTAATGTCACTTAAGTATCTATGTTTTATTGTTAGAATCCTTTTCATTAATATTGTAAAAAAAATTCTTGTATTTTAATCACTACTGCTATTGAATGTAACATTTTTCCCCATGATAATTTATTGTAGTTCATAGATAATTCTGAATTTGTCTGGCAAGTGAGTGCAATTACATTTGGAATTATTTTCTTTTGAACAAGTCTCCTCGATAAAGCATTCAACTTGTGTTCCAACATCACATTGTTATTACTTTTTGTAAATGGGAAGGAGTGCGAAAATGTTGCTTGCTGGTGTGTTTGAGCTTACTGCTTATTTTATTCCTGTCTATTTGAGTTGGATGGGAAGGTAGTAATTTGATCCAAACACGTTCAAATTGAAAATCATTAAGAACTTGATTAGAAATGATAATGATGTAAATAATTGTAAAGAACTCAGTTTTGATGTGTGGAATGATTTTTTTTTTTTTTTTTTTGTCTATTTTATTTCAGTCAAATAATTGAAGACATACTTACTAATGCAGGTTATCAAGAATATTGGTTAAGAGCTTATATTGATTGCTTGTATTGTGAAAATGATTTCAAGACAGTACCTTTGTTTCACTTTGAATAATTTGACTATCTTTATTCAAGAAATGATGTTGAATTTTTATAATTCCATGAATATTGATTTATCATTGAACTTGTAAATAATAATGTGATCTTTAATGTTATGTTAATTTTGGGAAAACAGTGAAGTGGTTTCTGTCATTACAAATAAAAGTCACAAGAAATAGCCAGCAGATGTTCCAGGAATGGTGCTTTATAAGCGTAATATGTAAGCTAATAATCATAATAGACAAGTAACTTTAAATATAAGTTTTCAATTTTAGTACTGATTTTGTCTTGATGGTTAAATAATTACAGTCGAAGGCAAAGGTAATTAAATTTTCTTTTAAGTTCGATTATAAATTTAAAATAACATTTCTGTACTTGATATCTACACTTTTTACCATATTGTGTACTTGAGAGTAGGATTGTGACTAGTTTGCTACATTAAAAAGTATGCTTGTCAAATTTAATGGGTCACTAGATCACAGCCACAAGCATATCCACTGCAGTTTGTGCAGTGCTTATATGTTCATTTGCTCTGTACATATATAGATATATATATATAATTATTCTGTTATAAACCGTGTGTATTATTATACATAAGACTTTAAGATATTTAACATGATCTGTACAAAATTCTTCTATTTGTTTGTTTTTAGCATTCAAATGCAGTTGTATCATTGTACGTTAAAATTAAAATAATTATTAATAGTTGTATTATGTTTAAAAGCTTCCAGCTAACATCTCCAAAAAATTAGTCATTTTTGGAGAAAGTACTTATAAGTAGGTAAAGTGAAATAAACATGAAGGGCTGTACGTTTGAAATCGTATAAGGGAGAATTACGATTATGAAGAAATAAATAGAGGGAATAAATATTTGATTATTCATTTATCAGTAGATTGGCATCTGTAACAAATATCATAGTGGCAGTCATTTTGCAGGGAGGGTGACAGGAGGGATAAAAGCCCTAGGTGACTTGTGGAACTCCCTTTTGCAGGATATACTGTTATGGAAAGACTGACATGTAAAATTGGGGAGTGGTATCAAAAGTGGACCTTGGAATTTTGGTTAATGCCTCAGCAATATTTTATTGATATATTGACGTTAATCCAGTGTACATAGTTTCAAAAATGTCATGTTTTGTTAAAGCTTTTCATGAATTCAATTGTGTACTCTGACAATAAACTTAGAAAAGATGGCAGGCAGGCTCGTAGACAGTGGCAGCAGTGATGGTTAGAGCAGAAGTAGTAACAAGCATTGTGCTTACTGGTACTCTTTGTTAGATTTGAGAATGCAGGCATGCAGGGAATTTACATGCGATTTTGAAAGCATCTTCTTAATATTCCTTTCTTGAGCGTATTTGACTAATTTCGAAATTACAGAAGTTTAAAATTGTATTGAGGTCTTCATACAACCACTATAGACCTATTAACTATGGAGATTTTTTATTTTCTGGTATATGTCCGTATGTACAGAGAAAGTTATTGACTGCTCCAGAAAATCGATTTCCAATTTGAATGGAAATGCACGTTGAGGGATCCCTGATACACAAAAAGTGTTCGTTTTTTTCCCTTCAAATTGTCCTGCAGTGAACAGTAATAGTGCCTAAACCGTTTGTAGGATTTTTCCCAAAGTAAATATCCCATGGTTAATCTGTCACAACTCAAAGCTCTGAGATTTTGAATAACTAAAATTTGGGGTCACTTTACATGAAACCCTTGAACATTTTCAAAATTTTCTTCAAAAATGTCTCCTAGTTTTTCATTAAATTTCTTGTAAGAATAGAGTGAAATACACATGTAAAAATGGCATTAGTTCTATTTACTCTGTTACTCAAGAATTTTCTGAAATTATAAAATTTTGAATTTTTTCAGCATCTTTCTACAACTGCAATATTGAAGATACCCTTTTTTTCTTCAAATGATATTTATTCTTCACTTTTAGTTCTTTAATAATTATCATGTACATTTTTTTGAAAATTTTCGTAGTTTCCATGTAATTTGGTGTGATATATGCGCAATATTAAAAAGTATTAAAAACAAGATTTTCTTAAAAAACGTTTCAAATTTTTTCTTCACATTTTTTTATGAAGATAAAGCTAAATGCATTGTATAAGATGACAAGCTGTTTTTCTCTGTGTTGTGTTTTTCAAAAATTACTCACATTTCTTCATATTTTTTTATCTCTCTCATATCTTCAATATTTTCATTATAAGCGATTTACATTTTTACTTAAAGTGCTTCAAATGATGTCTGAGAAAGTTTTTCGAAAACTCTAAAGTTTTCTGTAAAAATGAGCTTTAAATTCCGCAGTTTCAAAAACTGCTGAAACACTCTTTTATTGGTTACAGCTTCAAATTTTTTCTTAACATTTTTTGAATAGGTAGTGCTAAGCTTACTGAATAACATGGCATAATTGCCACTTTGTTGTATTTTTCTTGTTTTTTCCATAATTAAAAGTTTTTTTAATATCTCTCATGATGTCAATATTTACATTATGGGTGTTTTTTGTGTGTTATTATATTTGTAAGTACAATTGCTTAAAAGAATTTCATGTGAAGTTTCACGAATTTCGAAGTTTTGTGTGTAAATAAGCTTCAAAATCCTCATTTTCAGAAACCCTCAAACAAAATTGTATTAAAAATGGCTCCAAATTTTCCAGTGAAAATGTGCATATATGACCAGATTACCGTTCCACAATATGGTTAAAGTCATATTTCAATTCAACTAACAGTGATTTGAAAAATTGAGGAAATATGAATTTATGCACTAAAAGACGGCAGTTGAGGAGAGAGACGGTGGGGCAAAATCAAAAAGATGGCCGAGACTGAAGAATAAGGAAACTAGTACTACGAGAAAGTCCGTGCCATCCTGTTGCACTAGTTACTTTCTCGTGTACGTACGTAGGTCTATATACGGAGAAATATAATCGTAATACTGAGAAAGGCATGTAATGCTGCGAAAAAATCGATTTCCAGTTTCAACGGAAATACGCGTTCTGCGGTGTACCAAAACTTCTTTTTTATACGTTCATCCGCCCGTTTGGGAACAACACTATAGGCTTAAGAATTCCTTATAGGATTTTCCTCAAAAGGGAGTAAAGAATATTTCCCGGTCAATCAGGCGCGACTCGAAGCTCTGGGATTTTGAAAAACATTTTATTTTTCGGTGTTTTTTTACTATATGATATTTTAGGGGATATTTTCATTTTTTCTTCTAAAATGGCTTCAAAGTTTTGTTTTATACTTTAGTAAAAATAGAGTGTGATTTCATATGCGAAAAAATAGTATGAAGATGGCATGGGTCCGATTTTCATTGTTAACTGAATTTTCAAAAATAACATTTTTTCGCCGACTTCACACAATCTGATTTTTTTTTTCGCTTGCTTGTTGATTGTAGTGCTGCGGGGGAAAACAGAAAATTTTCGACAGAAAAACTCGTTGCCGGGCCCTGGTAACGAAAAAGTCAATAAATCTTCCTTATATAGTAAATTACTTCCTCTAGCACGATGTGTAAGTCAGCATCCATGTTTTGTGAGACCAAGAAACGGACTGACTGCAGAATGTCCGTCCGTGGTCAATGCTCAACGCTTGAACCGTTAAGCAATCGATCTGGCTGATGTAGCGGCTCCTTGATTACGAAACCGATGGTTTAATTCGGGGAGGGAGTTACTTTACATAAAGCAGGAGCATTTTCAAAAATTAAAAAGCGTCCAATTTTTTTGTTTAAATTTTGTTGTCGAATAACTTAGGCGGAACCCTTACGAGAATTGTGCATGTATATTATTTAAGTTCAAATTGCTTAAATTATGAAAATTACAAGAGATTATTTTGGACCCTTCGTACAACTAAAATATTGAATATAGAGATTTTTTTCCTTAATGGAAGCTGATCTTTAAAGACAGATTTCGAAATAAGGTCATCTACAAGTTTTCAAAATTGGAGTAGTAGTCTCGTAATTTTGGGTGAAATATTGTCAATTATTTTTTAAACGACGGAAAAATATGGTGCTAGACCCATTATCGGCGAATTCTCCATATTGAAAACAACAACATTAAGTTTATACTTCAAAACTTCAAAATCGAAGATGGAGAATTTGTGTAAATAAAATTTTCTAAAAATCAGCGCTTTTAAAAAGGTCATGTATAATGTTTTGAAAAAACAAGTACTTTATGCGTAATTTGTTTTGTAAAATTTATGCCATTTTAAAAAAAATCATGTTCTTAAAAAGTGCTCCAAATTCTTTCTTCAATTTTCCCCCTCGGATAGAAGAAACGTTTAAAACGACGCAGGTTTCATTTTCGTTGAACACTACGTATTTCCGAAAATTGCGAAAAACAACAATTGAAAATTACAAAATGTAAGATAATTGCATTAAACAAAATCTGCTCTAAAATATCAGCATATTAAAAAAAGATAATTTTGCAATTTTCTTCAAAAAGCTAGTACTTTTTTCGTCATTTCTGTTTGGAATTAATGAAATACTCTGTAAGTACATATGTTGAAAGAACATGTGACTTTATTGAACAGGTTACATTAGGGAATGAAAGAGGCAAGGCCTCTGGCAGGTGGAAAGTAGGCCAGGCCAGTAGGGTGACGCTCCTCCTCTGGCTGCAACGCATGCGGTTCGGAATGGTGTCAAACACCGTTTGGATCCTCTCTTGGGGCAAGTTCGCCCACAATTCTTGCAGTTATTCCTTCAGATCCTGCAGGTTGGTACCGCGACGAAGTCATCCCACACGTGGTCAATGATGGAGAGGCCAGGGAATTCTGCTGGCCACGGGAGGACCTCAACATGCTCTACAGTACCGGCAGCGTATAAGGGACTCTGGCAGTTCTCTCCACGTGATGTCGTTCCTCATATGATCTGGCTGAAGCAATCAGCTTGCGAGGATTTGTCTACTTTCGTACAGCGAATGTTCAGAGATGCCGATTATCTGACTCGCACGAACTCGTAGAGGCGATAAGATTCGGCTTTGGCGAAAGTTATGAACATAATATCAAAACGTCAAAGCCTGTCAGTAAGTGTTAAATGTTTTGAGATTTAATATATCTGTGATGAGCATAGTACTGTGTGGAAACAACGCATTAAACTGTCAGAGCCGCTTACAAGCTGCCGGAACTGTAAGCAGTCCACTGACACTCGTGCTCTGTAAGGTCGGCCATTATCTTGTTGAAACATTGCTCCAGGGTGCTGAGCCATAAGGGGTACGATGTGCGGACGTATCATGTCTGTGGCGTATCGCTGTGCCGTCGAACTCTGCCGAAGCACTATTAGAGGTGATTTGAACGCATATTAGATGGCTCTCCACACCATGATGTCCAGGGTTACGTCAGTGTCTCTCCACAATATGGGCAGGATGTGCCCTCTTCCCTTCACGCCGCTACACTCTAACACGATGGTCATTGAGGTTTATGGTGAAGCGAGACTCATAATTGAACATGCTGAGATGCCATTCCTCCTCAGTGTAGCGGCCTGGTGGTGGCGGTTAAATCATAGATACGCCCACCGCCACTTTCGCCCTTGGCGGCGCTACGTCACCGCGGCGCACGGCGCGGCCCGGCAGCGCTGGAGCGGCGGCAGCCACTGAGGCAGACGGGGAGCGCCCCCCCCCCATCTCTTGGCGCTAGCAGCGACAGAGGCCGGGTGGGCCCCTGCTCACTTGGAGACCGGCGATCGTTGCGGAAGATTGAATTACGTGCTTTGTATCGACTGTGTTTTGACCCTGCTGTTTCTCTACTGCACTTTGAACCTGGCTTCATTTTGATACATCCTCTGGTTATCGGCGATCTGGCTTGTAATACGATTTTGGATACTGTCTCAATGAACGTATTTGACTTTGCGTGTTGAGTTGATCAGCCTTTTCCAGTGATATCACTGCGTCCATGCCTCCAGGGCACGGCATCAATCCAAACGCCGACGTCCGTGTTCTGGTGTCAATGGCAACCGACGCATGGGGTTGGGGGAGCTTAATCCGGAGTCGTCGAGCCATTGCGTGAGAACTCACAGGCTGTTGTAGAGTTGCCTGTACATGCGTGGTGGGTGCCGTGGGTTTCCGCACTGCTTGGAGTACCATATGATGGTCCTCCCTCGGGATGGTGATTCTTGGTCGACCCACGCAAGTTAGACGAGCTTGGGTGCTTTCATGTTCCCACTGATACCAACATCGGGGTACTGTGACATCTGAATCATGCCTGGCAGCTGCAGGATACGACCAACCAGCCTCATGAAGTCCCATAATGCGGCCTGTCCAATGCAGTCAATTGGTGAATTGGCAGTCAAACGCGACTGCACGGCATCGCAGATGCTTCGTTCTGTACGTAAACTCTGTCTATCGTTCATCTCTGCCTGACTAACAGTAGTTGACTGATAACGGTGCAACGACATGGCGGCGACATTACAAATGCACTCTGGTGGGAGTTCTACACATTAGAGGTACGTGTGACTAATAATTTACTCACACATCAATGGTATCCATGTATACTGAAATGGGATGACACTGGACCAATTCTTCTCGGTGAATCATTTTTTTCGTCAGGAAGTGTATGTACACGTATCCTGCCCAGTATGGACCACGAAAAAACCTGAGAACTGCAATGGATGAACAGGATATGAAAAACAATGCGAGAATACAATGCAGCGATGGATATTTCAGAAGCTATTCCAAGCATTTCATTATTGGAAGGCGAAATTGATGGAAGAGAGATAACAACGGCTTTGTTTACTGAACGTTAATGTTACGTTGTTTCTACGTTCAATGAAATGGTATATTCAACTTTATTAGTTATTAATAAACTGATGTTTGTGAAAATTGCAAAATCCAGAAAAAATAATCGAAATCATTTAAAAATTGGTGGATGTGCAGAAGAGTGAATCTATAAGAAGTTATTAAATTTGAATAGAGATGGCGTACACGTTGACCAAGCAGCGCTCTCCATTGTGTGACAAGTAATGTTAGTATTACATCACTCTCAGTCGGTGTAAAGCAGTCAAACGACGTGGAAACCTGCAAGCAAGTGGCGGTATGCCTCATTAACGCCAAAGGGCGCAATATCAGCATCTAAGTGAGGTCGAACGGGGCAGAAAGGTCGGTCTTCGGGAAGCGGGTTTGTCGTACCGTGACATTGCAGCCCAAACGGGCATACAACAGTAACGAGCGTGTGGATCCAGCGGATAGAGGAGGATCGTACACAGCGACGAGTGTGTACTGGACCACACAATGTGACCGAAGCGCGAGATGACCGCCGTGGTGTCCGCATGGCCGTAACTGACAGAACGGTGTCGCCCACAGTGTTGGCACGACTCTGGAGCACTGTAACGGATGTGATGTCTTGTCTGTGACGCCTCTCTCTCTCTCTCTCTCTCTCTCTATATATATATATATATATATATATATATATATATATATATATATATATAGAGAGAGAGAGAGAGAGAGAGAGAGAGAGAGAGAGAGAGAGAGAGAGAGAGAGAGAGAGAGAGATGAGTTCTGTAAGTTAATTCGAATAATCCTTGCATGTCTGAATAATGTGGTGCAAACAACACGAGCAGTTACAAATAATTTGAGAAAGTATGTGCTGTTGTAGTTCCTCTAGTTTCTCATTTGAAAAAACAAGTAGTTTTGCGTAATTTGTGCTTGAAATTTACGCAATTTCTAAAAAACATATTTTCTAAAAAAACTTTTCCATAGTATTTTATTTTTTCCCACGAAAAGAACTAGGAACGCTTAAAAAGGTGTCGCAAGTGTCATTTCGATAAAATCTCCGTATTTTCGAATATTGCAAAAGTTAAAAATTTTTAATTTTCCAAATTGAAGATAGATTTTTGATTTAAACAAAATCTGTTCTAAAAATTAGCTCATTAAAAAAGATCATATGATAACTGACTTATTGAACTTGAAAACTGCAATATTAATTCGATATTTACTCGATTATATAATTTATATTCTCAATTTGTTGATGATTTTTTTTCAATCAATCCCCGAATATATACGGATTTGCAGAAGTTGGACATTACGAAGAGATACTGTAGTTTCGTATGCATTCACGAGGCGATTTATTGGATGATTTTAGTTCTGGATGTTCAATTTATATGTGAAATTATTTTTTTGTTTCGTTAATGTATTTCCCGGATATAACAACTGCTTGCTAAAATATGGACCAGAGTTCGAATGCTAGTATGCTGATATATTTTGCAAGCTGAAAACGCGTTTATATTACATATTATGACATACATATGTCTGAATAGTCTGGGGAAGTTCATCCTACAGAACCCAGACGTTTAGATTGAGGTTAAACAATTTAATGAATAATAAGCAAATGCCATTTATGTGATTCCTGCAAAAATCTCCCCGCTGATTTTGGAATCTTGCCATTGCCTTGCCTATTTATTAACGATTCTGTAATTTTGGTCAAAACTTTCTTACTCAACGGTGCGAACACATTTTCATTCGATACTGATGTTTATAATCACAACACATCAGGGGCGGATCCAGCATATCATACATATTTGAAAAATAATAAACATATTTGTTATACTATTGTTTTTTATTTATGTCGATACATTACAAAATACTATTTTTAAAAAAAATATTGGTCCCCATATTTCCCTGGATCCGCCTGTGCAACACATGTCATAGATATCTTATTCATCAGCAGCCAGTATCAACAGCTCGCTTCCAGAAATACACTATGATCCATGTACATTACTTTACTAAGCGAAACTGTTTCTATGCATTTAGAGACTGTAATGATCATGAAAAAGAAATATATTTATTTTAACAATGAAATATAATGCATTAGTTAACATTTGTTTTTGTTGAAAATGTTAACAAAGACTTAATACGTATACCTATTAGATATGTATTACTTCACATTCTGGATCAATGATTCTCATCTCGATCTGTTTTTTCTGAGATTCTGGAGCTGCAGAAAACGTGTGTAGTTTTTTGCGCGTCTCCCCATACGTCACATAGTTTTTCTGTTCTTTGATTGTACGTACTTCTTAACATTTTATGTCTCGGAAACTTTCTCCTGAAAATACTCAATCTGGAACTAGATAAATGATCCATACATGCAATGGTGCTTGGATAATCTTTCATTCGAAAGAACCGCCCACCGCTCATAACACGTGGAAGTGCTACATCCATTCCACAGAGGGCACATCATGGTGACGAAGTATTCTGTGCTGGTGGATGGCGCGTTCGAACGAACTTATGTCGTGTGGTCAGTCAAACATCCCGCCCAATTCGGCTTGTGAAAAACAAACCAAAGCAGGACTTAGTAAGGATATTGTATTTATTTCAATTTTTGTTTACATTATGAGTAAACTGTTGGTGGATCATCGGAATATCAAGAACTTGTAAGGCTGTGAAGTTTTGTTGTTTCACCGGAGTTTTACTTCAAGACATTTGTACCTGTTGGATAATTTCTATGAAGTTTTTGAGTGTTGTGACAGATTTGGTTCTTAAGCAGGGCTATTTCTGTCAGAAAAATGCCTGATAGCGAAGATTCTCCCAGCGAATCTTCTCAGTTAAAAGTAAGAAATTTGAAGTTTTAAGATGTGATTTTAAGGAGCACTTGTGAGCACATGCATGATTTCAGTATCATAATTTGTGAGCATTTTTGATTTGTTAAAAATAGTTTGTGCCTTATTTTTCTTCAAATGTTGCTATAATTGATTGTTCAGATCTGATATCAGATGTGAACAAATCATAATATTCTTGATAATACAGAGAGCTGAAGAAATGATTTTTTTAATTATTACTCACGTTATTTATAATCACCATGTTATTTAAAGCAAGAGGTAAAATTGCTCTTTAAAACATTTCCATTTCTTGAATTCCGTCACTTGTATGTCTTCATAATTTTATGTTTGAAATCAATCATACAGTTCAAATAAAAAAAAGTATTTGGCTTGGTACTATTTAGTGGAGTAAATAAAAATATTTATAATTTAACAGTTACATAATTGCAAGCATTTTAAGATATTAAATATTTTTTATAGTGAGTTCTTATATTGATTTTAAGAGCTGAAGATTTGTTAATAGAACACAATAGTGTTATAAAACTTTTGAAATTACTTTTTAGGATTTGGATAACTTACTAAAATGCGCCATCTGCTATGAATATCTGAAGACTACGTTAATGACACCATGCTCGCACAATTGTGAGTATCAGTCAATCAAATTGACTTATTTGAAGTAATCCACTATTTGTACAGTACAGTAAAATGTATTTTACTGTAAATATTTTATTGTTGTGTTTTTCTTTTTATCATTTTGTTCCTATGCATTGTAGTTTTACTTAGTATAAGATGTTAAACAATGTACTAAAATTTCTCTCTTGGAACACTTTCAGTTTGCTCTTATTGCATCAGGCAGTCACTCTCCTATAGAACCCAGTGTCCTACATGTTTTGAAGATGTAACAGAGTTTCAGTTACGACCTAATAGAGTTGTTGATGAATTTATTTGCATATTTACATGTCTCAAGGGAAAGTTTAAGTGCTTTAGTAACGAACGAAAGTTAAATTGTGAAAATTTGAAATCTAATGAAGAATCTTTAGAAAGAAGAATTACTAGTGAATTTAATACTAAAGTAAGTGTACAATCAACTTCATCACTATCATCGCTTAAAAATGATGTGAATGAAGTTAGTCGTGAAGATCTATCATCTAATTCAGCTCCAAGTACATCAAAGGAAGATGTTCGTATACCAGATAAATTTGTTGCAAAGAGAGAAGTTCAAATTGCATCTCTATTTAGTCCTAAAAAGTCAAAAACACTTGCAGTTAATGAAACAAGAGTACCTTGTCCTGTTTGCTCTGTTGAAATTCCTGAAAAGAATATTAATGCTCATCTTGATGCTTGTCTGAAACGATCTGAAGAGAAGAGGTATATTTGACTTTCTGTTTCTTATTTGAGAATTGCAAATAAAGAAAAGAAAATATCATTAACCTGACCTTGTATTTATTTAGAGTAGTTCCTGGAGAAAAGAGGAAACTTCTTCCAAAATTGGTATATCATCTTTTGCCTGATAAGGACTTACGCAAAAAGCTACAAGAGTTAGGTTTGGGTACAACAGGAGATCGTGCAACTTTGATCAATAGACATAAGAGGTTGGTACTTTTTTTTGTTTAACTTCTGAATTGAGTACTTGTTTTTGAGAGAGATTTAAGGACTAATTGTTGCTTGAAGGTAGAGACACAAACATACATTTTCAAGATTGTAAATAATTTATTTGTTTTTTAGTTTGGTGTTTTTATGAATTTTAAATCTTCTTGAGTCAGAACAATATATAACCTGTTTGGGATATATCCCAACCTACTGTACCAAAGATTGTCAAGGACATTATGAAGTAATGTTTTTTATAAAACGTTAAAACTAGGTTGGCTTTTACATATCAAATATTGAACATTCAGTTGATAATGAACTATTATCTTGGACCTGCAAAAATATTCAAATGACAATGTTAATGAAAATATATTTTTTACAGGTATACCCTTTTGTATAATTCTGAATGTGATTCATTAAAGCCCAGATCAGTTGCTGAGATCATTAAACAGATGAAAAAAGAGGAGGAAGAAGAGAAGAAATCAGTTCCACAAGTGGTGAAAGTGAGTCTATATGTCTGTATTTTTGGAAATGAGTAATAATTTTTAGAATAAGATGGTCATTTTCCTGTTTATTGAAAAGGTAATAATTTCTAATAATTAAATATGAAGAGATTTAAATTTAAGAGCAGTTTATTTTTATTGAATATTTCACATTAAACAATAAGAACAAGTTTCACTCATTTCTATTAGAGCTCTTACAGTAATTAGGTCTTAAGCCCTGCTGCCACACTTCTCTAAGGGTGTACCGTATACTAAACTTTAACCAAATAAAATTACTATTGGCACCTCTTTTCTTAAACTCCAGAATCATTGCTTCCTCTTTTACCATAAATACTTGAATTATGAATAAATTAAATGAATGTTGTTTGTTGACCTAATTTAATAACACTAAATTTTGGCTTTTGTATAATAGAAACTATTTCTGTGTCTATTTAACTACAGATTTGATTTGATAGTACTGTTGATATAATATCTTATTCCTCTTACGCATATTGAAATGACAGTTCAAGAAAATATGCTCATGTAACAAAGGGACTACAATAAGAACGTAGTTGACTCAATCAATAATCGTGTCAAGTACAATCCTATATTATTAATATTATTATAGGTTTGTATTTGACACGATTACATATGTGTATGTTTTGAAATTATCTTGTTTCTTATATATACAATAGCATCAAGAGATTTCACAGTCTTCTTAGGTAATTCATTTTCATAGTTCTTACCCTTTCTTTCTTCCTTCGTGTAATTTCTCTATATACTGGAGGGATGAGAAAGTCCAGTGAATCGAGTGTATTAAAACTCAGCATTCAATTGTACTAGTCACACATTTTTCTTTCTTCCTTTCCTGATGTTTCTTAAAAATAAATGTGACTTCTTCAGAGAACTTATGTGGTTAATTTATAAAATTTATGTATTTTGGGCATTGATTTGGAAGCTCAGTAAACCTTATACGAACAGGTCAGTACTTGATGTTAAAACATATTGGAAATAGAGTAATGGAAAGAGAATGTTTCTCGATCCTCTAGTCTTCTTCATCCCTCCTGTGTAATAATTTTTGGATTAATTAATCAACTCCCACATCACATTACATGTAATATCCCAATATTCACGCCTTTAGGTCAAAAGAGAATTTTCAGAGGCCCTATTTAATCCCAATTTAACTTGCTGTTAGGAGGTTTCAGTGTATTTGCTTGTCTGGTTATGGGTGGTAGATGCATGAATCTGACTTTGAATAGCTTAATGTTGTGCTGTCTTGTGTTCAGTTTATAGAAATAACTTAAAATGTCCATGCATTTGTTTGTAATGTGTTTCACTTGTAATTTATTTTTTAATATTACTTGTTTAATAGTTAGTCTATACCGGAATCACTTGTCACCACAGGTCACCCAAAACAAATAATGGGGTGACCCCTGGGTTCAGAGTACAATTCCTTTTTGATCTGTGTGATCCCGATTAAATTACTGGTGGACAAAGTGAGTTTGTGGCAGGTTTTCAGGATGTGATCCTTCGACTTTCATTACACCATTGTTCATTTCATTAAAGCAGCTGCAGGTGTTAGTGCACCTCAAGATTAAGACATACGGAATATAGTTTTGAGAGACATTATGATCAGGAATCTTGTAATTCGTCCCGTGATGTATATGGAATAAGAAATAACACTAATTTGTTTAATTCTTTTCAGTTCTTTTTAATAATAATGTAAGGGAGTTCACACAAATGTGCGTTTTTATTACAATAAACTTTCTTTTGCATGATGTGGAATCTTTCAGTTATTTTTTATTTGAGGTGAAAGTTAACTCAGACGTAGTGTGCATGAAATAGAAACTAATTATTATTTTTTTCCTCCACAGAAACTGAATGTCGATAGAAAAGCAGATCCTCAAACAAATGAAGAGGCTCAACGGCAGTATTGTGAGTATGCTTTTACTTATCTTTCAATTTCACAAAAAACGTTCTGAAATTGGTGAAGACTTTCATTTCTATAAAAGGAACAGAATGAGTGACCAACACATGGGTTGTGTTGTCTTTACATTTTTTTTTCTTTGTGTATCCTGGCAAGTCATTTACATAAAGAACATGACTTGTATCGTGGTTTCTAAAGAACCCTCATCTTCTTCTTTTTTAAACTTCTTTCTCCACAAATATTCTTCAAAATTCATTAACTGGGATGTGAGTTGCAAAAGCATAGCATAAATTTTTTTGGCATAAATTTTTTTTGGCAAGCTGCTGTCTGTCAATCATTAATTGTCGGAAAACTTTGTTACATAGTAAGAAAGTCATTGTAGACATCATTGATCTGTGTTTTGTAAATTTGTGGAACCTCTTTCAATAATAGAGGTCTGGAATTCTCAAAGGAGTTAAGTGACAAAACACTACTTTTTAGTTATAAGCAATTTTTTTAATGTATTTATTATTGTCTTTGATTCTTATGAAATTAGCCATGTCAAACTGAAGAATTAATGGGCTACTTACCAAATACAAGCATCTGCAAATATTATCTAGCTGAAAAGCATATGAATCGATTATTAAATCTGAAATTGGGAATTCAGGATATCTCACATCTATTAGAAAATAGGGCGCTTTTGTAATGTTTATTTTGTTAATTGAAATTAAAAGTCAAAGAAACTGTTTCCACGTACACAAAATAAATGACTTCATTACTTGTTTACATTTCTCAATAAGAGCAAAATCTGACTAACATTGTTAATACCTGTGAACGCTAACCCGCTAACAAGGTAATTGTGCTGAATGACTTAAAAAACCTCCAAGAAAAATTAGAAATAGGTTAAAAATATGATTACTCTGTTTTTATTTTGTCAGTTATCGCTTAACAAATGTAGTTCCTTCTTTTCTGTACTTCGAAGAGCATACGTGAAAGACATGGCTATTTTGTTACCTTCTCTGCTGACAATACCTTCATGCCATAAAAAAGATATATGAAGTCTGAGTATCACCTAGGCTAATGCAAAAGTTAACACAGCTCAATTGATGATAATAAAACATCTCAGAATTAGTAAGATTATTGGTTCTTACTTCTCCAAAAAAGAAAATATTATATTTTCACTTAAAACAGACATATATACTTTGGCACTAATATAACCTAAACCACTCTCTGACCACACTGAAATGAGAACTGCCAACACTAATGAATTAGTGTTAGCTTATATGTTACAATTAACACTTTTCAAATGACAATGAGAGCTGGAGTTAACACATGTGCCAACTATTTCAACATATCTTTGTACCTGAAGATGACAAAAAGATACATAGCATTTGAAGATAGCCACTGATAATGTTTTTCTTTTCAAGTTAACCATTATATGAATGACATCTTTCATCAATGCCTTTTTATTGAAGTAGCTACTGGGTCTCTTATTTCTTTTATTGTGTACTTGCCCAATAACCCCTTTTTGTGAATGTCAAAAAGTGTCGTCGAAACATTCTATGTATTAGATAAAGGATTATATCTGTGAAAATAAAATGATATTAAAGAAATAACTGTTTTTAAATCCTATGCGATCATTTTAGATATAAAAACAGAATGTAATGCTTTTCAGAGAAAATTGGCTTTGGCTTAAAGCACTTTTCTGAAGAAAAATCTCAATTTTTTGTAAATTGGCGCTTAACACACCTTTGAAAATTCCACTCGACAATTATTGTACATTACACTTATATCATGATACTTTTCTCCACCAAATTTTCTTACATTTTCTTTTTTTAGAAGAAGTTCTATGTTAAGTATATTATCTTCCTTAAATATATTCCTTTCGTAAGAATGTTATTTGCCTCGCTTAATTAACACAACAGGCAACAATCACAAACAGCGTAAGAATTTGGCGATGGACATGGCAACAATTTATTTGAATAAATTGTGAAGAACTTTCATAAGACCACAACAATGAAAATTGAAAAACAGTTCCAGTTATGGCAAAAATGGCATTTTTGTGAGAATTGATAAGAAAATATGTGCTCATTCTTGCCAGCACCCATTAACTGAGAAGTGTTAATATAGTAAGAAATTGTGGTGTAATAATATTACATAACTGTTACTAAGGAGAAAAATGTGCTGTTTTAGCCCCACTAGTGCTCCTGCAGAGTTAAAATACTTTTTCTGTACTGCTTAAGCAGTAGCAAGGAAGTGTAAATTGTGTAATGTACTTTTGTAGTAGAATTATTTAATTATTTGTACACAGGAATTCACAAAATAATCTTGTTATTGAGTGGCTTTTCAGTTATGAGAGGATGACATTTGTCACATTTCTGAACATTAGATGTTAAATAGTACTAGTTTTATTTAAATCAGAATTTAATCTGTTGATGAAATAGTTTGTATAATTCATTGTTTTACATTTAATGATGAAATTGGAATTTCTGACCCTTTATCTGGAATTTAATGTTTCAGTGGAAGAAAATAAAGCAAGCTTCCAGAAGTTAATTGAAGAAGCTCGAAGAAATAGAGAAGCAAGAAAAAACAGCAGTAAAACACGGATTTGTGATGATACCGCAATTGAGGGAACATCCAGTCCTTCAAAAACTAATACATCTAAATGTCTTTCTCAGAAAGTAAAGTTATTTCCAAGCAATAAGAATAAAGAAAAGGATATTGATAAGGATGATGATGATAATGATGAAATAGAGGTTCTTAGCGATTCTCATTCAGAAAATACACCTAAAAAGGCAACAAAGAATGAAAACAATGATAAATATAAAGCATTGAAATCAAATGATAATGACAGTTCTTCCAATACCGATCCCAATTCTCCAAATGCCTTTGATATGGATGGTGATGATGATACAGATGAGTACATAAGCCAAGAAATGAGTAAGAAGAAAAGAAGAATATCATCAAGCCCTGAAGAAGGTTCTGATTTTATATCATCAGTTACTTCACCAGTACTTGGCAATAAAAGTAAGAGTAAATTAAATAAGACTCCAGGAAGAACACCTAAAAGTATGAATTCTTGCAAAAAAAATTTAACTTCAGAGTTTCGGCCACTGACAAAGTGTATTTCAACCTCCTTTGGCGAAAGTCCTGCAGGTCAGGATGCACCAGAAGATGCTGATAGTGACAGTAGTAGTAATCATAGCACAAGTTTAATGATGTATTCTGGGCCAGGTAAAGGATATTTCTTTAGTGATTTTAAAAGCATCTTTAGAGCTTTGACAGAATTAATTAATAGCTTCCATTAATGGTAAATTAAATTTAAAAAAATTAGAGGTAATATTTCAATAGCCAATTTAATGTGGATAATTTATTTGAAACATTTGGAAATGTCACAGACCTTAATGTACGGTAATAATCACAGTTTTTAAAAAACTTGCCCTTTTTGTTGCAGAGTATGAAGGAGGTTATGAACAAAATGTACCAACAAAATCATCTAGTCAAAGCACCAATCAAAATATTTCCCCTGGCCTTGAAAAAAGTCACTTCGATCTTGGAATCGAAGAAATTCTTCAGAATTCAGAAGATTTTATTTCTGTTCCTGTTTGTAGGCAGAGTTCACGCATCAGAAAATCTAAACGAAATTCACCTTCCTCTGATGCAAATGTTAGAGTACTACGCAAACGTGTTAAAATAGACGATTTGTGAATAAATTTTACCCAAATTTTTGTATGTCTTTGTTGCATGAAATTTTAATGAAATGTGTGATGTATAAAATGTTGTATCATACTTTTCACCTGAAAAAATACATATTTTTGTAAATTTGTTATTCATGTATAATTTATGGATGTAAAAATACTAATGTCATTGTAAATTTCATATAAATAGGGACATTATACCATGGCACATCAGCATGGGATTATAAACTTGCTGTATATACTCTACATTAAGTGAATGCAGAATATGCTGATAAGTCAAGAATTCTGTGAATCTCACTCCCAGTGTCAGTATGCAACTTAAGTTTGTAATCATGGCTAGCACATACACAACCTTCACATGCAACGGTTACCACTAAAGAAACCGCTTAAATTAGTCCTGTTTTCTCTTTCAGTGTTCAGTCTATCTGGCTTGGGCAGTCATTGCCACCAACAACATTCACGTCATGCAGTACAAATAAGGCCATAGAAATTGATAGAAGCAGGGCTTGATATCTGGTAGACCGCAAAAACAACAAGTTTGCTTTTTTGCATATATGCATTTTTACATGAGTGAGGCAGCTGTGATCACAATTTCAAAATTTTGCCAACATAATACCTCGTCATGAGAGAACTTTTAAATTGGACCAAGAATAGTTGGAATGGCCATGTATTTACTCTTTGTAAATTACATTAGTATTTGCTTTCTCCTATGCAAATACATATGTATGGAGTAGTATACATAGCGTAGAGAAAGTTATCTCACGCTAGTGAAAATCGATTTTGCGATTTTAATGGAAATACACTATTTGTGGTCTCCTTATAGTATGAAAGTGTTTCTATTTCTTTTTTTTCAAAACGTCCCTCCACTCGTCTGTGAACAGCACTGGCTCCTAAACTATTTAAAGGATTATTTCTCGAAAAATAGTATTGCCGTCTCGACCTGGACCGACTCAAGGTCTTCGAGTGTTAGATTGTTTAAAAAAAAATTACTTGTACTTTACATGAAGCCCTTGGGACATTTTCAAAATTTTCTCCAAAAATGGCTCAAAAGTTTATTTTATTTTTTTGTAATAATAGAGAGAAATACACTTATAAAGATGGCAAAGGTCCTATATTCACTATTAACTCTAAATTTTCAAAAACTGCGAAAGTTTGAATTTTTCGGTGACTTTCTAAAATTACAATGTTGAAGAAAGATTTCTTCTTCAAATGAAATTTGTCCTCCACAATTAGTTCTTTAATTAATGTGATGTTCATTGTTTTGAGAGTATTAATAATTTTGGCGCAATTTGGAGTAAAATTTGAAAATATTAAAAACAAGACTTTTTCAAAAATGGATCCAAATTGTTTCTTTTACCCTTTTCTACGTTTATAGTGGCAAATGTACTGAATAACAAGACACAACATAATTTGATGCATATATTTTATTTTCCAAAAACTACACTATTTAATTTTAAAACGAATCTATGTCCTTAATATTTATATTACAGACCTTTTAATACTTTATTACATTTGCAAGTACAAGGCATTTAAATGATTTCTTATGAAGTTTCTAGAAAACTCAAAAGTTTTCCGTGAAAATAAGCGCAAAATTGCGCATTTTAAGATACGCTCAAACTACACTCGCTTCTAAAACCCGCTAATTTTTCAGCTACACTAGGTTTTACCCTTATATAATATTCGTATTTCAATTCCATTATTATGGATCTGGAAATACAATTGAGCAAAACGGCCGGGGGCGGGGGGGCGAAAGGGCGCCAATAGGTGGTAACTAAGAAGAGTGGGGCAAAACCGAAAGACAGAACAGCCTAAAGAGATAAGAAAAACAATTAGTACGAGAAAGTTTGTGTTATGTTGTAAGATCACTAAAAGGTATATAGCAGTCAAAGGGCCATTCATCTCTCGATAGTGTTGTTGAACTGTATTTATATCATGGTTGTTGAGCAAGATCTGTAATGATTCAAGATTTCTTGCATCGTGGATGTTGATTGGGCGTTAAAAAGCCGACACTGCTCTGCCTACAGGCTTTCAGCTCCCCCAATTACGACTGATGTATTCTCTGCCAGAGATCGCTACTGTAATGATTGAGGCTGAGTTGTTCTGGTCGCCTTCTAGCTGAACGCGACCATGAAGACGAACATTTATGGCAGCTGTAGAATATCGTCAGGGCGAAAATTGTTCAGAAATTTAGTTAGCGCCTTATGGTTCATTTGCGTTCCGCACGTATTCAGTTATCTATCATTTAGACGATAACAAAGTAATGCGTCATAAACACAATTTTCGAATTGCTTTACGCACAGAACCAGAATTATTTACATTTGTTCAAAATGACTCAAGGTATCTAATATCGTTAATCTTCAAAATTACTGGCCAATACTTTTTACGTGAACTGTTAAGAATTTCAAAAGAGTGACGCACATATGTATGTTTGAGATGCGACATCGATAACAAAACATTGATGTTAAAAAGCAACAACATCGATGTTAAAAATACATCAAACAAACACCATCGATGTTTTTAGTTTAATTTAGTAACCTCCAACATTAAATTCGTGTGCATTAACATGTAATATGAGTGTTCCTGTTTATCAATTTGCCGATTAAGTTTACGAGAAAAAAGGGCAGATCCGACACTCACAACCTATTTGTTGCCCACATCTTAAAATACTAAATGGATATGAAGAAAGAGGAAATAAAATGGCATGGAAGTCAATGCGGGCGAGAGAGTTTGGGAGATGAAGGTAGTACAAACAGCGTCTCTTAGGTTCCAAGATATGAACTACAGTGTTCCATCAGTCATTATTTCACATTTTAACTTACAGTATAGTGATCATGGGAATTTTTCATTCAGAAACAAAACATCGGAAAAAAAATCGAAGAAAAAAAACAACATCGGCGTTAATACATCGATGTTTCAAAAATCCATGTTTCTTCAAAAACACCTACTTCGATGTCGCATCCTAAGTGCATGTATTTCTGTTACGCACCATGCACGTTCTTACACGTTCGCTTTGATGAACGGAGATATATTTTCACATTTTTCAAATAATTTCTGCCTATGCCATTTTTAGTCTTTGTTCTTTCTAGATGAATTATTTTTTTACATCATATAAGTATTTTGATGAGTTTAATTTGTAATCTTTGAAGACCACATGGGAAACACAAGTTACATTCCTTACATGTTGCATATCCGTTTTCATTCCCTACATGTTACCAAAAAGTTTAGGGACACCACAAAATATTCGTGGTTCCATTACTGTTGTCATTGATCTACTTGTTTTTTCTTTATTTTATAATTTCATGGATTCTCCATTAAAAACAATACTTTTGTTGAAAATTCCAATGCAATGGAGGTAATACTTTTCGAGAAAGCTTTTCTCTACTTTAGATTTTTTGGAGGAAAACAACGCCCCGAAAAAAAATCTGAAATAAAAGTTCAAGACGTTCCAATTAAATTTTCGGTACATTATTTTGGCAGTAAATATGGAGTTTAAAAAACCCAGTTATATTGCTCATCTGAAAATGCGCAACTTGAAGTAATATTACATCCTGAAATTTGACCAGCGACGTAGAAAAATTGCGTTCTTATAAATGATTGATAGATTAGTGATTCCGGGCGCCTCAACTGCTAAGGTCATTAGTTCCATTCCATTAGTTTTATCGCGGGAGGGGGGGGTGATTATCTCCCCCTCTGAATGGCTGGCAAGATACGGTACCGGCCTACCCGTGGGCTTGCGGGTTTTCCTACAACCAGGTATATCCCACTAGCGGGGCACCGCCCCTGTCGGAACAATCTCTAAGCTCTCGACTGGTCTCCCGACATGTGTGTTAGTGTAGTGCGAGTGTGTAAGAGAATGTAAGGGCTAAGGATAAGTCCAGGAAGAAGAAGGAAAGCACGCGCGCGTTTCGTGGCCCGTTCCGGAATTCGTCTGGTGTTGATCGTAGAAACCATGCAAACTCGCGATCAAAGCAGCCGGCCGCTAGAATTCTCCTCCAGACAGCGGTCGAATTCGATCTTCTTACCACCGTCGAGACTCGATCCCTAGGGCCTTCCGGTCAGAGGTAGTGCAGGGACATCCGCTTGCATTTATCACGGGAGGTGGCGGTGATCTTCCCCTTGTGGCGTCGTTAACACGAGGGCCAGAACCGTTAGGTCGGTGAAAGTACGCTGCGGGGGAGGAAGGGGTTGAGCCTGAACATCCGGGAGTTTGCGCTCGGGCGGTTGACTCAGGTAGTGCCGCAGAGCCAAAAATACCGGAGGCTGTAAACTCCGAGGATGCTGCCGGCGAGCCTCGTTTACGGAAGCAGGCAGCCAACCCTAAGAATCCTGTGTGGGGGCGTAAACCAAGGCTGGCCTGCGAGCCTCGCGCCAGCCGGCGAGCCTATCTATGGAACAGTGGTGGGGGTGTCAGCCTCAACTATTTAACGCGGCGCCATCTGCGCCCGCGCTCTCATTCAGTTTGCATCGGGAAGCTTGTACGTGTGTACAAGGGGTGTAGGAGTGTGGGCGAGATGTCCGGAGAGTAAGGGCCAGACAATCTCGCGTGCTGTAGGCACACGGTCGCCACGACCGGGTTAAATTTTGGTGTCAGGCCATGTGACGGTAATTGTCACGGGACGGAGGTCCGACACCGCGCATCACGCGTGGCTTGCATTTTCTGCGGTAAAGCAGTGTTCTGAAAGGAAAAGGTTGCCGGAGTGTTTTAATATTAGCAATTCATTGTAACTTGTACATAATCTTTAATATATTATTTTTCTTTTGTTATTGAAATTTATTTCTTATTTCACTACGTCACACCCTGCTGGATGGCGTGATCCGGCACCGATCTATCCGTGGACGTGCGGGTTTTTTCCCTAACTAGGTATGCCGGTCCGACGCTATAATGACTTGTGAACGATGATTATTCGTCAAGTCCAGATAATGGTCTAAAGTTTAAGGGCTGGAAACTGGGCCATTAATCGGGGCTAACAACTGTGAGATTGACTTACACCACAAGAGATTGAATTACACAAAGTTATATTTCGACTACTTGGCAATTCCAAATCATGTAAAAGTATTTGCTAGTTGCAGCCCAGGAAGAAAAATAGACACAAAGAAAGTGCTTGTAGATAGCCTGTTAATGCTCGGAGACTACTTTCCATGATATTCTGTTCCGGTAAATGCTCAGCTATCGTAATAAGCAAACCAGTTCCGGGCTGATACATTGATTTCATTCGTTACATTGATACATCCTGTGGCTTTGCGAATTAAACCAGTTGTACTACAACATCCCATACGTTTTCGCATTATTTGAAACTTTTGAAATTTTTGGAAATTCACAGTTTAACGAAAATGGAATTTTTGCAGCGCCTTTCCCCTATTCGAAGAAAAAATAAAGAAAAAAATTGGAGCTCTTTTTGAGATAATTTTAAAAATTGCCTTTATTTCGTGCTCAATTACTGATATTTTGCACAAATTGTACACGCCCTCACTTACAAACTTAAATTTGAAGAACACACTTCGTGTAGAAAAACATGTTTCTTCAACTTTTGCTATTTTCGAAAATTTACGGAATTTAACAAACATCGGGCCGTTTTCAGAAGCGTTCTTTATAGTATTTGAGAAAAAAGTTTAATCAAACAATTTGGAGCCATTTTTATTGTTGTTACAACTTCAACGGGTGCGATCAGGCAAAGCGAACGCAGCCGGCGAATACCAAGTTTGATCAAAGTACTACGTGGTAAAGGGTAGCCGTTGGCGTTGTTAACAGATGGACGGACGTTTTGTCTTAAACCATTTTTTCCGTATCAAAGAAACACAAAAC